TAGTTGTCTCTCTAGGAGGCAGTTGCAGAAAAACACACTTGAAGATTTGATAAGAGTGACAAGTAATACAGTATGTTGCAAAATATGAAATACATCAGCTGGAATAACATGAAATTGCTGTAATTTTCTAGGGAAGGAGAATAAGTTGGTTAAAGAAAGGCCAAGAATCTTTGAGGGGGAAAAGTCTCAACATCTTTGAACTAATAAAAAGCATTTTCTTGAAGTTTGTAAAGTGCTTTGGGGCCTGTCTGGATGACTTTATAAGTCATTTTCCTTGGCTTTATTGTGAGTCCATATCATTACACTGGGGTTATCATTTGGCCCATATTTCTCTCTCCCCACCAGGCATAGGCTTACCAGCTTCTGCCCGTTTCCCATGGTGACTCAGGCTTCTTTGTACGCTAGCATTCGATCTTACATTTCTTGAAAGCATCACGAGTACCGTGTGAATGGACTTCAGCCAGCTCGGTGAACACATCTTCTCGCTGGGATGTTTCTTCATACTTGAAATCTGGGTCACATCACAGTAATGAAATGTGCTGATAAAATATGACTGGTATTATTTGTTTAAAAAGAAATTGAAGAAAGTATCTGTTCTTGGTTCCTCTTTCTGTGGATCTGCCCACTGTGATCCAGATTGTATGTCCAGAACTATTTGAAAGACACAAACACATCTCAGCGGTGAGGCCTGCATTACCTGAGCTGGTTGATAGCAGGACACTGAACTTGCCACTGGTAGATCACAAATTCAGACTCAGGCATTGGTTGTCACAGTTGTTAAATTTGGTGACAGTTCACAGCTTTGTGTGTGTTGGTCAGGTTATCCATCTGTATCTACAACATAAACAGCATGCATTGCCACTCTTGCTCAAAATCTAAAACAAAAGTAAAAAAAAATTTTGCTGCCTTCTTGGCTTTGTGTAAAAATGATTCAAGAAATGCTGTGGAAGTAACGCAGGAAGAATATTATGGTGGTTAAAATATTCCACCAAATAAAATTTTTCAGTATGCTCTGTTTTGCAGTGTGAATTTTTCATACTCACTGGTCATCGGCTTCATGATGGTGAGTGAAAACGAATGTCTGGGCAGAGCTGCTCTGAGAGAAGGGACCATTTTTTGGCTTACTCGGAAGAGAGGGGTACTGTGGCAGCAGAAAAAAATATTCTGTCAACACAGGCTGTGTCTGCAATGGGAGCTTAATATAATGTACAGCAGCAGAAGCTGTGTTGTGTAAAAAAAAAAATGTGAGGATCCCAACAAAGCTGACACAAGTTTCATCCTTTCCTCTTCTCTTCCTGCCTCAGCTCTGGGGAGCAGCTTGGTCCCCCTCGCAGCGCCCCGGGGGTGGCCGCGCTCTGTGCACCCCCCTTCTGTGGTGCTGAGGAGCACGGGGTGCTCACCAGGATCCCCTCAGGATTTGTGGCATCTCTGATCTGCCTGGGGAGGACCTGGCCATTACCCTGCCTGCTAGGAGATTGGTGGGGTAGAAAAACAAACAAATAAATAAAATCCCGTCACCGCTGTGTTCCTGTCGCTCACCAAGTTCCGCTCCTGAAGTGTGTTCAGTTGTCTTAATCCTCTAGAGCTCTTCTGGTGCTCAGGCTTGGAACATACAGTTCTCATTGGTGGCAGTTCAGTGTTATTACTGAGTGCCAAATTGAATGTAGAAGCCGTTCAACACTATAATTGTAAATTTTCTTGTCAGTTATCTCTTCCTATTGCTCGTCAGTATTGTTCTTTTACCATCTTAAACTTTTTCCTATATCAAAAAGCCCTAAACCCTGCAATTATACGTGCCTCGTCTAATTTTTCTTTTAATAGTTTTGGGAAAAATAGATAAAACAGTAGTACCGTATGCGGTGGGAAAATAAATCATCCCTAACTGAAAATTTCATGGAGGCATGCTCTTATTTAGAAATATGAGTCATTCACAGGAATTTCTTTCCTGTAGGTACACTGTACCTGTGCCATGGAATAACAACAGTATTTACAGGGTAGTGAGCTTGACATCTTAGTGTGTGGGGACTGGGGAAAGGGGGAATTTATTGCAGCTGTAGCTCGTTCAGCGGCTGCTTTTTAATAGCTCCTTCATTTCTTATTTTCCTGTCTCGCAAATTGTTTAATGAGAATTCCATTTAGTCCCTCTTTGCCATATATTTCTCTTTTGAAGAATTAGGGTTTTCTTTTCTTTTCTTTTTTTTTTTTTTCATTTTTTTCTTTTTCCTCACACTTTCTGGGTTTATTATAAATGTAGAAGGAATTCAAGAAAGCTGGGTTTTTGAGAGTTTAAAATACGCTGCCATGTGTATAGTGCAGAAACATGTCTTGAGTCTTTAAATGTTCAATATGTTTGCTGTTAATGTATTTAGTTGACTTCAGGTTCATGACGTGGTAATGCTTCGGTATCAACTTCCCGTGATGGGAAGGAATTACGCTATCGCACAGAGAGAGGATTTTGAGCTGCGAGCTCCTGAACGAGAGAGTCTGCTGAAGGGAGCGTTAAAGCACAGAAACTGCTTGGCACCAGTTAGTGTAATTCCACGTGCAACGGGCTGCGCGACTGTTCGACCTTGGCCACGGCTGGCGTCCCCGGCAGCGCCGCGGGTCGGGCTCGCCGGGCTGTGGCCGGGGGAGCCCAACTGCAGGGCTGTGAGGAGGGAAGTTCACCGACGTGTTCAGACTTGATTATTTTGACTGAGAGAGCTTTGACTGTAGTCTGGTTTATGCTTGTTTCGGAAAAGGAACATTAATATAATTCAAGCTAAAAGTGTCCACTGCCGAATGTATCAAGTGTTAGGAAAGCAAACTTCTGTCATTGAGAGGATTGTAGGTAACTGTTACTAAGTCCATTAGAGATATTTATAACCCTAGGCTTGATACCCGGGATGTGAAATGAGCCAGAGAACTCTCTGGCAATAGCGTACAGGTGAGATGAGTGGTTCCTTGCTGGATAAACACATACTCACCATTGACAAACATTGTATTGGTTCATCTTTTGTCTGCCTAATATTTGTTTCTGTTCTGGAAAAATCAGGCAACTTGTAGTATAGCAAATTTTAAGTAATATTTTCATTCTCAAATTGGAACTTCACTAGTGTCAGCCTTCTTTCAGTGTTTTACAATTTTGTCTAATTCCTTTTTACACACATTTGGTTTTAGTATAGTCTTGTTTAGTTCCGACTCAGGAGATGGCAGTCATCTTAGATTTCTCACCAGAATATTTTAAAAGATTGCTGTTCTATAAAGTCACATTGTAGGATGTTTTCCAGTTTTTCAAAATGTGTTAGTAACATCTTAATGAATATGCTTTACATCTTTGAATATATTAAATCTTATTATATTTTAGCATTCATTTACTTAATTCCTAATTCCCTATGGTAAATGATTATCTGTTGCCAATCAAAAGCCTGAAGTAGTTCAGTGTAACTCTCTTACTTTTCAGGGTTTTTTGAACTCAGTAAGTCAGAATTAAGACAAGAGGAAACGGCCTCAGGTTGCGCCAGGGGAGGTTTAGATCAGATATTAGGAAAAATGTCTTCAGCGAAGGGTTGTCAAGCACTGGAACAGGCTGCCCAGGGAGGCGGTGGAGTCACCACCCCCGGAGGGGTTTGCAGGATGTGTAGATGTGGCGCTCGGGGACACGGTTTAGTGGTGGAGTTGGCAGTGCTGGGCTAACAGCTGGGCTTGATGGTCTTAAGGGTCCTTCCCGACCTCGGTGGTTCTGTGGTGGCACGGGCTGTTGTCACAGAGGTCGGGGAGTTCTGGGGCTGCGGCCGGGGGACTGACTGTGCTCCGCACCGCGTGCTCGGCGTTTGCTCCAAGGCATCAGGGCCTCTTTGAACCCTGTGCTCTCGCACAGTGAGTGCTCTGGGAGTGGAGCCTCCAGTGGGTCCCAGCTTCCCTCTGTGGGCCTCCGTCCCGGTCAGCTCTCCAGAATACACCAGCTCATAGGCGGTGTGATGTCTAGCTACGTCGCTCACGAGCTGTGCTCTGGGTTCTACTCTAGCGTCTGCTCAGTTGCATTACTCAGGTGCCCATTAATTCCCTTTATAAATTATTTAACTGGCATAAAAATGAAGTAATTTTTTTTTTTTTTTCCTGTTAGCTAGCCTGGTCTCTGGGGAGGAGACAAACTCTGAAATGGGTGTGGGAAAGAAATGAGGAGGGAGCCAGGAGCAAGCCACTAGGTTCCTTCATGTCATCCTACCATATCTTAAAGTACCTTTGAGAAGCTTTCACTGGTGATTACGTATTCTTGCACCTTTTTTTCCTATATCCTTCTGATTTTACTCCCCTTTTGCCACTTCTCAATTTCTCAGCATAATCATGTTTCCTGTACCCAAGGGACCATCATGGGTATAGGCTCTGTTCCTGTGCCTGGCTTCCAGGGCTTCCTGGCAGGAAGGATTGCAAACAAAAATCCATTCGACCTGAGGAATACAAAGGAAGCGTGGTTAGTCGTGCTGGGTGGCATTGGGCAGCTGGCAGGTCAGGGGGGTGCAGGAACCTCGCGTGCCGGGGCTGTCGATACCCATCGGAAACCAGTTGGAGCTGGGACGGTTGAAGTGTTCATGCCTCTGGTGTCTGCACTCCTCTGCTCACTTCTCGGACCTAGAGATCGCTGTCTGTGATCTAATCTATGTCTCCTCGCAATATACAGATTGGAGATTTCACAGAGTTATAATTCAACCAAATTAATTCTAAACAGGTTGATAATGCTGCTAATAAAACTCCCTTTTCGAAGCGTGGAAGGACTAGAGCTCCTTGGAGAATTTTAAGAATATTTTTAACATGGCAAAACAGTGTTGTTTTTCTCTAACTTCATTCCAACAAATTGCCAACTATTTAACTTGAAACACTGATACATTTAAACTATTTGGTTTAAAAGTTTAATGGCCATTTTCTGTCTCAGGCTGTATTTCCTGCAGGGGTTGTGAATTAGTGCATCTCCCACATACAAGAACACTGAGAAACCTTAAATGTAATTGTTCTTTTTTCAGCTGCCTAGGATAATATGATTTTGGTAAGTCATACTAACTTAAAGTACATGATTTAATCCACACAATGTTGATAAAAAACGATGCTTTCTTCAATATTTCTGAAGTGAAAATACATTACATGTTCTAAGGTATCTTTGGACCATCCTGTCCATTGATCTTTGATAATTTCTTCAATTTTATAGCTAGGTCCTCCTGTTTTGTACAGAAGTACAATAGGAGCATAAGTCTGTTGCTGTGGATCCTTCCCGCTATAAATCATGACCAAAAAATTAATCTGGCAGCAGTTTGTAAGGAAGAAAAGTCAAGGTGCAAGTTCTGATAACAGGCATATTTATTTTACATTTTTGTATAAGAATGTTATTTTTATCTTTTTATTTTTATAGTGTTAAGGAGTAGGAACAGAAAATTGGATTAAAATCTTTGGGGATGTTTTTCATTATTTCTCTGCATTACTTTTTTCCACAAACAGTAGATTCTTTTAAATGGAATGCAAATTTTATTACAAATATTAATAATGAAAGGATACTCTCATGGAGTTGGAGTTTCAATACTTCTTTTACTAGGGGGTGCAAGATTATAAGGAACCAGTTTTTATAAATTTAGGCTTTGGTTTCTGTTGTCTTTCCTTAAACCTCACATATCACTCCACTTTTTCTGCAGTCACTTCAGTCATTTAAGAATCTTGACTTGTCCTTTTCCCTTTACTGTTAAGAGTTGTTGTATTAACTACTTATGGAAGATGCTGGACATGTATGTATGAAAAAAGAAATCCCACGTTTGCTGGCAGTTAAATATTATATGTAACAAAAACATTTCACTTTTGACAGTACCGGTTGAGTACTTTTTTTGCTAAGTCTTCTGAAAATAGTGTCAGTAGTTATGTTAGTCTTCATTAGCTGGAACACCTTTCATTTGGGATTGAGATTTATCTAACTGTGAACAAATGCAACTGTGTGCACCATTTGGACTGTTTTTGAAAAATACTATCATAGTATTTCTGTGTCCGTGAATCATACCAGTGCCGGCATTGCCTTTTCCTAAACAAGATCGGTGTTGCGACATTGCTGATATTTTAAATGCTCTAGATTATTTATTCCGTCTATTCAGCAATAGGACACATGCTAAAAGAACTTCAGAAAAGCAGATACTGATTCCTATCGTGATAAGCATATGATTTTCTTAAAAAAAAAATGGTTTTTGTCATTACTTCAGCTAGGAAATGCGCCTGATTTTCTTACCAGTATTTCTGTGCGTTACAACTCAGATGGACTTCTTACTACTTCTTTTTCCTGCTCCTGATCCAGTATGTGCATAATTGTACTCATGTGCCGAGTAGTCCCATTCAAACCAACCTGAGTATGAGCTTCAGTCAACTGCAGAAGGCATATCCCTCAGTCCAGAAAAGCAGTTATATTTATGCACAAATTTGACTATACCAGCAGTCCAGTTGGAGGCTGGAGATAAAGAGATAAATGGGCCACATTCCCTGGAATGGCCTTTTACTCTGCTTTAATGAATGCTGCCCTTGCATGAGTCTTCCTGTGGTCTAATCTTATTCCCAAACACAGCTGTATTGAAAATCAATCTTAGATTCTGTTGTTGAGCTGCTATATCCTCACCCATATTGAATGCGTTGTCTCATTTAGGATTTCTTCTTCTGTGAACACTTGACACGAATTTAGATTTATGCCTCATTTCAAATTGAGTCTAGAGACTTAAAATGAAGTATTGTGAGGAACACAGAGCTGGAAAGGACTGCCTAGGTCATTGAGTCTAGTCATTTGATGCTGAAGACACCAGGCACCATACAATCCTTTTCATCTTAAAAGCAGGTAGAATTTTTTATTCCTACTACTCAGATTGGAGGGCTATGCAAAAACCTCATTGATCTAATGGTTAGATGTATCCATGGCCAGATTATATTCATTTGTTCTTCTGCCAATGTTATGCTTTAACTTAAATAGCTCTTCTCTTTGATTTAAATTAAGCCATATATATGGATGTAGAAGCTCAGTGCATCAGAATGCTGTCAGTGTTATATAATTTTTTGAAATCATGATCTGAAGCTTAATACATCTCTTCAATGAGTAAGTATTCTTGTTTTTTCCTTTTATAGCTTTACATGTGGTACACATGAAAATGAGGCTGAGAACGCGGAAGGCTTCTCAGCAATCAAATCAAATTCACACACAACGTGCTTTGAGGGCAAAGAGGAAACATTCAGAAGTGGAGGAGAGCTTACCTGTTGGCGGAGGAAAACCACAGAAAAATGAAACTGGCTTGTTGTCTTCAATCAAAAAGTTTATTAAAGGAAGCACACCCAAGGTACAACATCAGTGGATTTCTTCTTTTGTTTTTTAATTGGGTCATATTCAGTTAAATTTGATTTAAAACAATTTCTATTAAGAATAAATTAACAGGTGTAATGTGGTGGAAGCAAAACATTCTTACAAAGAATTGGAAGGCAAGAAGCACCTGTGGTAGTTGTGTCAGGTAACAGATACTTAAAAAAAAAAAAAAAGCAGACTTTCAAACCCTGCAGGAGTCAATTGGAGGTGAATTTAAGACAATCCAATAAATCACAGGATTTATTACCCAGATATTTCTTTGTGAAAATGTTGACTAACAAATTCAGTAGATTTTTAACTTCTGTTTTAAGGATTCCTTGAATTTGGGAATTAACAGTAGTGGTAACTAAGAAAAACAGGTCTGTAAGCATAAATGTGCTGAATATTTTTAGCATTTGTATTCAAAATTGTTTAGGAGTCCATCAGTCAATAAAGGTCAAACCTCACAAATTCAACTGTCATGAAACTGATACGACTACTCAGTGTATTATTGCAGTGAACACTGCCCCCTCTTCATGGGTCAAATTCAAACATTGTTGGGGCTAAACTACTAAATCTCATCTGTCTTGATCCAGACAGAAATGTGAACTTTACTAATCTTCACATGTTAAAACCTGTTGCTTGTATGTTTTGAAGGTGAATTTTATATATATATATATAAGTTTTATATATATATATACATAAAATACTTTGATAGGCTGAATGTAACCTTGCAATTGTCTCAAAAACCTGTTTTTTTTTTTTTCTATAAAGGGATGCCAGTTAAAAAAACAAAACAAAACTTCATTCAGTCCCAGCAGTCCAGATATTGACATTATGTAGCTGCAAATTTTAAAGAAGAGTAGCCAAGAAGTCGTAACTAAATTAAAATGTATCCCAGATTAACTATATGATAAATAAAAATAGAAATTCAGAAGTATTTTCTGGGTTTTGAACTAAGTGTTGAACAGTTAATTTTGTGACAAGCTGAAGTTGAAATAATTTTAATTAAAGTAATGGTAAATTCTTAAATTGTCAAAAATATAGTGAAATTTAATATTTCATGGCATGTGTTAATTGTCTATCATAGAAACATTGAGGTACTGACAAAGGAAAATTTCAGTAAAAAGAAATGGTTCAATCTGCTTACATTTTGTTTTTCATTAAACTGGGACAAATAATCTATTTTACATTCAGCATCTATATTGTAGCTCAGTAATGCAACATTTTGGCTGCAAACCCCCTGCATCCGAACGCCGAAATCCAAGCAAAACATTTTACATTGGAATTTTAAGATAAGGGAAATATGTCTGGTTTTCCTTTCCTTTGTCTCTGTAAGGTTTTGTTAACTTTTTCTCTTCCCCTCTTCTCTTCCTCCTCCAAATCTTTGGATTACGTTTCATTCTTTTTTTTTTTTTTTTCTTGACAGGTTTTTTAATATAAAATGTCCACGTTTTTCTCCTGTTCCCTTTCATGTCCTCTCCTGTGCCTGTAGCAGGACTTGGAGTGGTTCCAGTGGCATTAGCATGGCACGATATTGATACTGCCGGGCTACCTTCCAAAGCGCTAATGACTTAACAAAGTAGTCCTGCGGCTGCCATGGAAACGTTATAACTCTCTGAGATAGTGTATGCCTACAACTTGCATAGTAGTTCGTTTAGGGGTATGCTAGAAGCTAAATCACCACTGGGGTAATGCAGATTTATGGCAGTAAATGTCTTCATAACAAGTATTATCTTGACAATTTTGACCGTGGTCATAGGTCATTTATCTAGTATTGTAAAGATGTCTGATTAGAAACACTCATTAAGCAAACAAAACCTGAAAAAACCTTATAGAGATTTAGTTAGGGAAACCAGAGACTAGAATGTGGCTCTTCCAATGTGGATGGTGGTAGATGTCATCTCGAGGTGTTTTGGTAACTCTGGGCCCTCGTGCCAGTCAGCAGTAGTGCGCAGTGCCCAAGAGTACGTACAAAACAACAAATCTGATATACGAGAAGAACTGATACGCATATGCATACAGGAATCACCAGTCAAATCTTTAAATGTTAACATCGGAAATAACGTAGAACTTGCTGCTGCACGTTCCTCTAAACTTGTTTGATTTGGGGGGTTCTAGCACTGTCAGGAACTGCCTTGACTTCGAGTGTGTTGTCACTCCTTCTGGTGTCATTTTAGGCCATTCCTTAATGCATACGTGATTTCTGAAAGCAACCTAAAAGCAAACAAAATGTTTCTGTTGGTGTGACATTGCCACGTTCCTTATGGCACAATTATCGATAATAATGGGTTATATTGAATTGAATAGATTATAGAATTCAAATAGATAGTTACAGAAATACATATAATAGGTATGTTTAATTCTATATGTGTGCAATAACATTTTCAGTGTATAAACCAAGTAGCACAATAACATTATATCTAATTTCACCTTCAGATTCTATTAACTAGTACAACACAGGCACAGCAGCATGAGCTTTCCCACCACGTCATTATAGCTCCTCTTCTGGAGGATGAAAGGGATCTCCAGATTGAGTGAACTCTTTATGCCTCTGCTGATACTGTCAGCTAGATTTCCCATTTCCATTGTAATTTTTTGCAATGTTTCTACACTTGTTTTCTGTAAAGCAGAATGAGAGCACCATTCATTTTATGAAGGCCAATGGATAGCTTTTAGAAGTCAATTAGTTTCTCTCATTTTTCCCTCAGTGTTGAACATTTGAACAAATGACCCAGAAGATGAGATGCTTTACTGTTCTTTTATCAGTTCAGTGAGCCATCCATTTTCTCTCATTATATGGATTTATGGTATACACAATATTATTAATTCTAAGTGGTAGTAATTTGATTGTTCTTACCAAGGTTGTTGGTCAAGGATACTGCCAGCAGGAAGCTTTTGGGATCACTGGTGTTCACGTGTCTTCTGATACGGATGTCAATACATTTCCATGTTTGTTAGTATTTCTTTTAGCTACTGTACTGTTAGCATGGGCTTTAGATTAATTTTTCTAAAAGATCTGTATGTTTTTTGTTTTTTGGTTTTTTTTTGGAGCACGCAAACTGTTTTTCTCTTTTCTTTTTAAAGATGTGAAACTGCTGCTCCAGAAAGGTAATACTGTAATTCTAAAATCGAAATTTTAATTAACTTCGATATGGTCTGTGGCCTTGTTATTTATTTTGATATTTAGTTCAATTATTTTGCATTGTCTCACACCTTGCGTTTCAGTGTAATCTATATGGTCATGCTGTAGATTTCAGATTGCCATTTTATTAAGTTGTAGTAGGTGCTTTGGGGAAAAAGGGGAAGAAACCTGTCTTAAACACGTGTGCCTACACATATACTCATGCACAGAAAATCTGCAAAAATGTTTGGTTCTGTATCATTCATATAAGTGCCCCAGGGAAGAACAGTCATTTACTGAAAGGTAAGAAGAATCATTGGGTCCGAACCCTGCTTACGGCATTTTTAACAGCTAAGTTTTGCCACGTACTTTCTGCTATGGACTGAATAGTAGCAAGTTATATACTTGCATACACTTTAGCAAGCCAGTTTATGTAGGGAGTATGGTGGAGAATTTCCTATTATTTTGCAGTTTACTTCCTGTGTATTTAACAGGCAGAGAAATCAAGTTTCAGATAATTCTAGCTGCCTTGTCTCAACAGTTCCCGAATTCCGTAGCACTTATATATTTATAAATTGGCTATCCAGTGAAATAGTACTTAAAGACAGTCTTTCTACTACAGAACCTCCAAGTACAGTTTTCTTTCCCGATACTTTGCTATTTACCTTGAGTTGTGTTAGTTTAAATGAGTTTAAAATTCCAGCTGGCCAGATACATGTTGCATATTCTGCATCTGGAAGTGGAACAATAAATGGATCTTTTGTGAAACTTTCTCTAACAGCTAACATTTTCTGGTAGTATTCAGTAGAGAAAAGAGGCACTATTCAGCATGTTTCTTTTTTCCCCCTTTTCTATTTTAAGGAAGAAAGAGAAAATCCTGCAAAAAGAAGTAGAATTGAACGGGATATAGATAACAACTTGATTACATCCACACCTCAAACAGGAGAAAAGCCTAATAAACAGATCTCTCGAGTACGACGGAAAAGTCAAATGAATGGAGGTTTGTAAATATTCTAATCAAACACTGTTGCAGTTGAGTGGTGATATCAGTAGTCTTACAGCTGTTAACTAGTACAGGACATTTCGTCAGTGGTGGAGGTTGTTAGGGGTGTTGTGACTGACCAGTGACAGCAAGGCTGAGCTAATAGCAAAATAAGGTTTCTAAGACTGTAAGCAACAGTTCCAACATTACTTCTCAGACACATCTATTGTATCTTTATAAGAACAGTTTGGATATGTGATCGTGTCCAGTTGGTTTTGAACTAATTTGGCTTTTTTAAAAAAAATTATTATCCTAAAAAGCCAATGATAATAATTTGATTTAGGTCTTCTCCCCTTTTCTCACAAAAAAAAAAAAAAAAGAGATACGCCTTCACAACTGATGACCTTTGTGGAAGTAGCCAGGTGTCCTTGTTCAAACACATAGATGGGTTTCTGTCACAGAATCATAGGAAAATTTAGATTGGAAGGGACCTCTGAAGGTCATCTGGGCCAGTCCCCTGCTCCCCTCACGGCAATGTTGATCCGGCTTGAAGTGAGATCTGGCTTTGGAGTTAGATCAGGCTGCTCAGAGACTTGTCCAGCCAAGTTTTGAATATCTCTACGGATGGAGATTCCACAACCCCGTTCCAGGGTTTGACCACCTCCTTGTGAAAAGTGTTTCTTTTTTAATGTCTCGAATAATGTCGTGATAAAATGGTCAATGACATTTACAGCATCAGCTGTGGTTCCAAATCTGACTTAAAAAAATTTTTTTTTAGACTTCTTTTCTAAGGAAACGAGACTTAGGTGATTGTGCAGCCTGTCAGTGTTCCTTCATTCTTCATTCCCCCAATAACTCGGGAATCCATTGTCTGATTCTTGCCAGGTTTGTCGGCAAGGCAGAGGTCTCAGAGATTTCATAGTCCAACAAGGTTTGCAAGACTGGTAGCTAAGGAGAGGGTAGAGCTCCGAATGACAGACTTCAGTGATGGAAGGGTTACAGCGTGAGGGAGTTACTGGTTTAGTCGTGACATGGCTGTAGGAGAAACCCCTTTTTCCAGGGCTTGCTACTGTTAAGGGGTTTTGATTCCTGGAGGGCTAATGGGTATGCACCCTCTTACAGTGCGATGCATGCCGACAGTGCTCGGAGATGGAACTACTGACTTAAATCAAGCGTTCTGATACACGCCCGTTTAGCACTCTGAGCCCGTGTTACTGTTACGGCGATACGAAGTCCTCAGTTAAAATATTCCGTATTAGTGAAGGCGCTGAGTTGCAGCTGGCACACCCTACGTTTTATATAGAAACGATAGGAAGTGTGAAGTACTTGTGCAGCTCCATCAGGCTCAGCTGACAAAAAGGTTCTCAGCTCATGTGCACAAAATGCGTTTGCTTACTTCCATATGGACAGACATCTCAAAGACTTGTTACTGTGAAGTAAATAGCTTCTCTTTCTTTTCAGTCTCAGAACTGTGTCTTGGATCTCAGCCATGAGATGGCAATTTTTAGTTCCAGGATGTACTTTACTGTACATGCACATTTATAGAAAACCTTAATTGTTACGTGTTAGGCTTTGTAATGTGAAGATTATTTAATTCTGTGTCTTCTGTTACCTGTCACGATAACTAAAAATTATTTTACTTCATAATTGTATTTGTGCATATATGTCTGTGTGCATATATGTGGAGAATGATATACTATGGACTTGGGCTTGTGGAGTTTGGAGGTTCGGCCACTGGAGTTCCACTGGCACTTTCTCCTGTTTCCATCTAGTGGAGTCCCACCGATACTGACATCTGGTTCTTGTGAAAGGTGAAAGTCTGTCTTCCATCATCAAGTCCGTTTCAAGGATTTGAACATCTATTATTTGTTAATATATGGCATTCTTTTATAAACAAGGAGTGCTTCCTAATTTGAAGTGTTGAACTTAAGATGGTGTTGAAAATTGGCATTTTGTTTTTATGTTTATACGAAATTGCTAGCTCTTTCTTTTTTTGTAAATCAAATAGGCTAATTTTTTTGTCGACCAAGTTGGACCATGAGCAGGAGGGATCTTTCCTATAGTGAAAATAATAACAATAAAAGAGAGAATGTAACTGTGGGAAACACAAGCATGGTTTATACCTCATAACTTTTCTTTTACAGAAGCTGGAAGTTATGAAATGACAAACCAACATGTAAAGCAAAATGGAAAATTAGAAGATAATCCTACCACTGGCAGTCCCCCACGAACCACGTTACTGGGAACCATATTTTCCCCTGTTTTCAATTTTTTTTCACCAGCAAATAAAAATGGTGAGTATTATTCAAAAAAACGATTGTGTTAAAGCTAAGAATGATAGATATTTTTTTAAAAAAACCTGCTTTGAGCAGCAGTACACTTTTCATTCTGATTTACAGAGCAAGAGTTACTACTACCAGATAAAGGGCTCCTTAATTCTTAGAAGGGTTGATCATTAATAAAAGAAGCATTAAGTTTGTATGCATTAGAACATTTATTTCATAGGTGTAAATATCTAGCGGTGTACCTTTTATTTATATATTTTTAAAAAAAGGAAAAAAAAAAATGGATAGTAAGTTCCTTGTCCCAAACATAAAATGCATTTGTCCCGGTCTTCATTTCTGTTCTTATTTTTGTAATGTAAATCAAATGCAGCCATCTTCAGTTATTCTGAAACTTATTTGTGTGTGGGTAATAGCGACTATCAGTATTCTGATAGGTAACTCGGCTTGCAGATAATGACTGTGAGTGTACTGACATCTTAATGCAGGAACATCAGGATCCGATTCTCCAGGACAAGCTGTTGAGGCTGAAGAAATAGTCAAACAGCTTGATATGGAACAGGTAGACGAGATTACTACAAGTACTGCAACATCAACCAACGGAGCAGCTTACACTAGCCAAGCAGTGCAGGTCAGATCGACTGTCAACAACGGGCTGGAGGAGGTGGAGGAAACAAATGACCGCGACCTGCCGCCACTTACAGGTAAGGAAGGTGGGCTTGCCGTGGGCTCAAGTACTGAGGCTGCCTGTAGTTTGTACTCTTGGGGAAATCCCAGCACCAGCATTTTGTACAAATGAATACCTCACGTTTGCTTAGGGCATGCAAACAGTATTAGTATTTATTTTTATGTTTAATAGATAAATCTGTTTTATGCACCAAAGTTTTGGCAAGTTTCATCTGTTCCTGGTATAATTCAGTTGGCCTCACAACTTCATTTCTTCAAATGAAAACGGAGATTCCAGGAGAAAGGCATTTTATTAATATTGAACTGTTCCCACCCCACCTCTGTTAAAAATGCACGCCCTAGATTTGCCGATCACGAGAGGAATTTGCACCATTTTGATATCTTATAGTAGAACAACATGGGGAGGAGAATGAGAAACGTATAGATCCTATATTCGTTTTCTTCGAAAGACTCATCGTACACCTTTTTTGACAAAAATTGCATCCATATAATGTTCAGCTTCTCCTCCCTGCGGCCGGCCAGCATCAAATTCTTGACAGCTATCCAAAGGGTGCCAGGCCCTGAGGTCCTGCGGCACGGCACGGCGTCGGCTCGGCGGCTTCCGGGGAGCTGGGCGGGCTGTTTCGGGGGAGGTGAGGCGGCCGAGAGGGTGGGACTGAAGGGAGAGCTCTTTCACTGTTGTTGGAGGCACGCGGGTATCAAGTGCAAATTTTCACTTTTAAAAACTGCACTAATAAGACTAGCTCTTGTGGTTTTTTTGTTTTATTTTTTGTTTTGGTCATTTTCGTTGAATTTTAGCACCAGTATCTCCAGACAGTGGCTACTCATCAGCTCATGCAGAAGCCACCTATGAAGAAGACTGGGAAGTCTTTGATCCGTAAGTGCTAATGTTTGCACTGAAAGTATTAAATTGATAATTTTGGGTATTGGATTAAAACATTTTTATTTAAGTTGTAATGTTTTTATATTATGGTAATGAATCCCAAAAGCTTTTAACCTAAAAAAATAATTGTATATTGAGATGGTTTTTTTTTCAATTTAAAATACTTATTTATTGTGCAGCCTTAAATATTTGCAATATTAAGCTGGGCTACAGCATTACCAGTTAAATAATGCATATACATTTCTACTGCAAAATCTGTATTCTTTTCAGATACTATTTCATCAAACATGTTCCACCGCTAACAGAAGAACAACTTAACAGGAAGCCAGCTCTTCCACTGAAAACAAGAAGCACACCAGAATTCTCATTAGTTCTAGACTTGGTAAATATCTTTATAAATACGTACCAAAAGCAGGGAATCTGTAGCGTTTAATTTATTTTGTTTGTTGCTGAAGTTACTAATGTTTGCTTTAAACAAAAAGGCCTAAAAGGCCTTTTGAATGTTACACAGTTTTTAGTAGTTTTAGTTATAGTCTGCATTTAAAAAAAATTAATAGTGGCAAAAATAGAATGCTTGCTGTATTTGTTGAATACTTAACATCCTGTTCAAAAAAAAAAAAAAAAAAGGCTTTACAATTGTTATCGCCTCAAACAAAGAGTTACTTGTCCCCATAAAGCTTTCCTAAACCCAATGTGGAAAATCAGGAGATGTTATAAATAGGAAAATTCAGCTTCATATGTCTTGCATCAGGGTTGATCAAGAATGGGTCTTTTAATTCTGAGAACATTCTTACTTTTAGAGGACACAAATCCACTTTAAAAAATATTAATAGAAAATATATTTGTCTTTATAATTACTTCTTTTAGTCTCTGTTTTGAAAGTTGTTCCAGACCCTGTTACTGATGTCAGGAACACTGGTTTATCGTGAGCAGTAGCAGCTGGCATGTCCTCTAGTGGTGGTATGAATGACTAGATTATTCAGGTTGACAGATGCAGGTTTGAACTGAATGACAGGATAGCCTACAAAATTAAAATGACCTGCTTATATTTATGCCCCTAGCACACAATTCTAAGTGAAATTTTTCAGAAGACTGCAAGAATAATGAAATACGCAATTCATTCTAAGAATTATTCTTCAAGCTTGACAGCACTTGCACAAAAAGAAATTTTCCTGACTAAATAAACCTACCTTAAAAGGAGCATAAAAGTCCAGAAAATTACTTCTATTTTCAGCATTTTTCTCACAATCTTTCTTTTATCCCGTCTTTTATTTCTTTTTAATAGGATGAAACATTAGTGCACTGTAGTCTGAATGAATTAGAAGATGCTGCACTCACTTTTCCAGTCCTTTTCCAAGATGTCATTTACCAGGTAATTAGCGTGCCCAGAAAAAAAAAAAAACACGTCTTTTTATTGTGCTTAACGTATAAATTCTTGCCGTGTGTATTTGTCATCATCTTGTTTAAAGGGAGAGGAGTAACTGTCTGGCGTTGCACGACCGTCTGGGTTGTAACCTGCAGGGGTCAGGTTCTGCGAGGTGGATTGCCCTGCGGAGCACCGTTGGTTGCCGCCAGGACGCGGCGATGCCGGTCCCCGGCTCTGACACTCGCCTGCGCGCGGCCCGTGGGGCAGCAGATCTGCAGGCCCTGTCATTTCCCGGGGCGGGGGGGGACACACGGCTTCTCCCCCCGCTGTTAACCTTCTTCCCTCGGCGGGGAAATCCAGCCCACGCCGGCTGAGCGTTTCTCTGTGCGCAGGAGGCGCCTTCAGCGCCTGACGTCGGCTCGCTTCTGCCTCGGTCGTTACGCTCGCTGCGCGCCCGGCCAGTGCCGGTTCTGCCTCTTTACTCCCGGCGAGAGCCTGCTGGGCACTTAGAGATCTTCGGTTGTCTCGCGGAGGCTGCTAGATGTAGGCTTTTGTTCTGCTGTAAGAGGTGGTGGTAGTTGTGCGCGTTTTACGTGGACGTACCGTAGAGAGGACCGAGCACGGGAAGGAGGAACTCTCTTCCAGCAACTACCGGAGGTGCTGCACTGACCCAGGCTGTTGTTCTCAGGTCCTTTTGTGTGTGATGTACCTGGGAGTAGCAACAGCTTCCCCACCATGTAGTTCGCACGATATGGGACCCCACTGTAGTATCTTTGGAGAATGAGCCAGTCATCAGGCACCTTAAAAGGACACTTGTCCAGGTATTTTTCCTGATTTTAAAAATGTTTTTCTTCGCTGTTTCATATTAAAACCCTTGGAATCTGAAAAGCTGGAATAAGATAAACCCATGTTTAAAAATGATCTCTTATTTGGTGACGGCCGTGCACAGTTTCCTCCAGGCTGAACATGGAATGAGCCTTAGAATAAGTTCTCGGGAGGTTCTTGACACTGCTAACAGAATCAGGAAGACTAAAGCTTCGGTTTTTTCCTTCCCTCTCTTAAGAGATCTCAGAATGATTTGAGTATTTTCTGTCTGTAACTGTGGTCCTTCTAGCGATTGTACATTTATGCTGAGATCTAACCAGGATTTTGGCTTTAGGAAATTGAAGTCAACAGAAAGAGTGACTTCTAATATTTCTAAAGCTTTATTTAACGGCATGGTACACAAACCTATAGCCCTTGATACAGTACAGTCACTCGGTGGGTCCTGGATAAGTTTTCTCGTAGCTCTCTCTAGAGTCTGGCCTGGATTTGCCAAGGAACAGGAGCTTCTTGCAGGCTTGAGAAAGTCGGCCACTGTCTTTGAGCACACTCTCCCAATCACTGTATTCTGTTTTGCTGGTTTTACAGCACACTAGACACTGACAAAATATTCACCTCTTACTAGGTAACAGGTAATAAGCAGGACAGATATTTTAAGGATACAATTAAGCTCATGTTTTCCTAGGGTATAATATGCAGAAAGACAAATAATCTTCTCCTGTGCTACAGCTTGAAGTTTGTTGGTATTTCATACCCTTCTTAGCATTTTTACTCAATGATTAGCTACTTATGAGCATTCAAAATGTATTTTTTTTGCTTATCAATTTGTCCATCACCTCTGGTGTAGTCCTGTATTAATTTCACATCTCTGTATTTCGTTTTGAAAGTCATTTCAGCTGGCAACAGAAGAGAAGCAGACACTAAGCTGTCTGAGTGAAGTAGAAGTCAGCGAGTTGCTATATATAAAGTATTGCATAATATAACCCACTGAAAACAATGCTAGATGTGAAAGCGACATTTCTGAAGATGTTTTCCATTAGTATCAAAATACGTACCGCTTTCACGTAGGTTTTCCAGAGTTGTTAGACAATTATCTGTTCATTATTTTTTAAGAAAGAGTAGAACCTAGCTCAGTGCTCATTTTCCTACTGAATATCTAATCTTCCTCACGTTAAGTCTGACTAATACTGCAAATGTGAGCCTGAGTTCATAGCATTTCAATTTTCTTACCCATCTGAAGGCATCAGGCCAGTGCTCTTGCAGTAATAGTGTGGTGATGATGATAAACCAGGCGCTTTCTCGAAAAGGTGCTTCAGAATGGGCCGTTGTAGGAGACTACAGCTCTGAGATTCCGATTGACCTGGGTTCCAGAAGGTCTGTTACAAAATGCAGCTAAACTCCCTTGGCCTGTGAATCAAGCACAAGTTTCACGTGCAGGAACTCAGCTCTGTTGTTGCTTGTTTCCGTGACTGTAAGTGACGGTCTGTTTTTAAAGAAAGGTTTCTAAAAATAAGCGCTTGTTTGCTTGTAAGTTATTTCTCAGAACTTACCCAGAGTGTTGCAGAAGAGACGAGCTATTTAATGTCTGAGCATAGAGCAGTGCTCTGCAAACTGAAAAATTACCATGCAGTTCCAGCACTGACATGCAGGGGTTTTTAAACTTTTGGATGAGTCACTTACACTCACTGATTTTTGTTTTCAAATAAAAAATAATAAAAAAAATAGAAAAATCTGTGAAATGGGTACAGTTGGGCTTGCTTCCTTCAGGCTTTTGAGACAATTAATTTGTGTTCTCTTGGTTGGAAGAAGAAAAAATCTCTAAATTATGCCAGTGTTTAAGTTTTGGACTTAGTCTTTGCAAAGCTGAAGTTTTTCTAAATACCGTATCTGTTAAGTGCTATCTTACATCTGACTGGAAAACAAAAATAAATGTTCAGCTCTTCAGCTGTAGACTTTGGACTTTGTACTTGTTGTATTACTTCATAGAATAAGATAAGTAGCTTATCTTACAAAGAAATTTATCTTTTTTTTTCTCTCTTGGTAAAGAGGGTTTGTTCTGTTGCTGGCTTCAAGTCCCAGACATGAGATCATCTCACCCTCCGTTCCACGCAGAGGGCACCTTCCGTGCACTAGCAGGCCGTAGGCAAAGGCAGATGTTTTCACTCAGCTGTTCGGTTGAAATGCATCTTTACTGATCTATCACAGAATAATTTCCTTTGATCTTTGTGATGCTTGAAAGATGTTCTGGAACTCCATGGGTCAGCTGTAGGTTATTGAATATAGTGTTACATGTATTCCATCTTACTGTCGCCAACGACCTGGATGCTTTCCTTTGTCACTGCAGTGGAATGATGCAAACACCACTTGTGAATTCTGGCGCTCCCTCCTAATGAACTCCGCTCTGTCTGTGTCTCATAAATAAGAGAAGAGCCATCGGGCTTTGGATCTGAAAGCCAGGAGGCTTTAGTGTATCTTGAGCAGCATCCACAGAGAAATCTGGTCTTAGGTTGGGAAGACTTTAGTTTGGCAGGACCCCTTCTGCCCCTTGGAGAGCCATGGCTGGCTACGCTTCAGGCAGCTCCGTCTGGTTACGAGGTGGTCTTCATCTTGAGTCCCTTAAGACACGGTCCAGTTGGGGATGAGTGGGGCTGGTTTACCTGGCAAGGCCTGGCACTGGTGTCTGGCGGGCCCCGAGGCCGGGGGGGTAGGTGGGGGCGGCGGGGCCGGCTGGGGGGGCTTGCCATGCTGGGCAGTGCTCGTCCGGGAAGCGCGGCGGGTGAGTGAGTGCAGCTTCACCAGGCAAGTTACCTAACCTGTCTCTGGTCTTCACCCAGTACAACGGTGGTAAAATCATCAGTGGAGGGATACGTTACGGGCATACTGGAGTCCATTATTGTAGTTTCAGAGATGTTGACACCATGTGGAACACATGTCTTTTGTTGGGGTTTTTTAATGCATGCAAGGAATAATCCCTCCTTCCAATTCCACCTTCAGAGAGTTAAAGTCCTGTGTATTTTGAACAAGGAAGACATTGAATGACAATTTTGATTTTGCACATTTAGATCTTGTTGCCATTGAAATAATGGGACGTGATGATCATTCGGGGGGAAAAAAAAAAAACACAATAAAACTTTGAGGGGGCTTTTCATAGATGATACCACGTATCTCTGTTGATGAGCTTTCAGTCATTAAAAATGGTGAAAATTATTATTAAACTTCTATCTATATTTTCAAAAATCACCTTTCACGTTAGCTCAGTGGTAGATGCGTTTTGTTCTGCTTTGGTTACGTGGAGTTCTGTGTCAGCTCGCCGTAGCTGGGTGTAATGATGTTGTTGCTTTATGTCGTGCCAGTGTCACAAACCAGTAAAAACAGACCAGTGAATCTGCCATCGATGTCATTGTTAAATTCTATACGTGTGTGTATAAGCTGTGATTAGAAATATATATTCTAAAAAGAAATTATTTTCCCTGGATTTCTTGTTTGCACTCACATGTGAACTTCTTAGAGAAGGACTGATATTCAGATAAATGCACACTTAAAACTGCATGGCAGTAATCTCAAGTAGAACACATTACAAAGATGCTGCAATTATCTACAGACTTTAAAAAAAAACCAACCAACCAACCAACCAAAAAAAAAAAAAAAACCAACCCCAAACCCCAAAAAACAGGAGTGTGCACATGAGGGACCCAAGCAGCCATAACTGTTCTCCGATCTAATGGAATGATTTTTAAAAATTCTTTTAACTGGCTGCTGTGACCAATGGAATTGAATCCAGATTTAAAAGGAACGATAAATTATATAGAAAATGTTTTTATTTATATTAGTAGCAGTTGAAATATCGACCTTAGCTTAGTGCTTTGGTTGCCAAGAGAGTTTGTAGGAGAGATGTTGAAGAGACTGTTTCTGAAATGACATCTGTGTTTCTTCCATAACAGAGAATAGGCTTGTTAATGTGAAATCAAGCGCTTGAAGAAACCTTAGATCCAAATACCATCCTCTTTAGCTACCATTATTAGCAACTGTTCTCTTAGGTGCAGTGAAAATATTAATATCCTTTCTTTGACTTACTTTTTAGTTTTGACTTTTTAGTTTTGAATAGAAAGATTTAAGTCACAATAAAATAAATATTTACTCAGGAAAAATGACATGAACAGAATAATCCTTTTGGTATTTGCAAAGAAAAACTCACCTTCCCTTAAACTCCGGGTTACAAGTAGGGAGGTGGCTGGCTGCGTTATGTGCTTGCTAGATACGGAGCAAACAGTCAGCGCGAGCAGTTTGCCCTGAATTTACTGTCACAGACAACCTGAATGTTATTTAGCATCTGGTCACCTGGAGACTCGGCGTTAATTCATTACGTATGTTCTTGTGGTGAGGTAAACACGTCATCTAGTCTTTGAGCAGAACTTCACCACCTTATTACGGCAAGATGAGACCTCATTTTCACAAAGATCTTAGTGCTGCCAGGAGCCGTGGTGTGAAGACACGCTTGTCAACTCTGTATTTAGAAAGTTGGCTTTTCAGTAGTGAACTTGGCTAAATTCCGCCCAGAAACCTGTCAAGCACAGGCTGCAGTCTCTTGAAACCATTCTTGATAGCCAGTCTGAGGGAAACTTGTACTGCCTGGACGTGTGGGTTTGCCCGAGTGAGAAGGGAGGTGGACATAGTCACCGAGTGTAGCGTCCCATGCCAGAAGTAGAGGTCCTGTTAGCAGGCGTGATAAGATTGTCTGGTTTTGATGGTTGGTCCTAGGGCAGAAGACTGAAAACTTTTTACTGTAGTCACTGGTCACTCTGCAAACTTGAGTCAGAACCTCAGGCACTTGAAGAAAGGAGCAAAGAAAAGCCTTACCAGATTTTAAGCTAAACAGTGGAATTCACACTGGTTTAACAAACATGTGCTTCCTTTAATGGACTAAGATCCATTGCAACATGTGCTAACAATATGAAATTTTGTATTGATTTAAGCCGTTCCCCTTTTCTCCCCCTCTGGTCGCTTGGTTGTGTCCACGTATGAATTTGATACAATTCAGTTCAAGTAATACAAATCCTTTGTGAAGAGTTGCTGTGATTGGAAGGTAAACTTAAGCCTATTCCTGACTGGCTCTTAGAAAACTGATAAAGCTGAAGTTACCTTGGTTGAAATGAAAAGAGGTTCAGTACACTCCCTTCTCTTTCTGGATATTTTAGTAACTCTTCCCTCAAGACTCCAATTCTCTATGTTCTGTAATTCGCTACGTTCTGGAGCAAAAAGCAGGGGAAGCAGCGCGCGAGGCTGTTGCTTTCACCCCACGGCGTGTGTCCTCACTGCTGGTCCAGGTCAAGTCCACGTCTGTGCCGAACGCCAGGCCGGGCCACGGCTCCAGGAGGCGTTGGCTGGGGGAGGGCAGGAGCAGGCGGTGCTCGGCCTCCTGGCGCCGGGCCCCGGCTCTGTCGAGGCGCCTCTGTGAGCCCAGCTCGGGCGTCTGGGGGTAAATCAGAGACGCGCGGGAGCCTCCTGACTTGGTGTCTCTTCCCGTGAGTCGAGAATTTTTTACAGGGAATAATTGATGCATGTGTGTATGTCTGTGCTGGTGGAACTTGAATTTATGGAAATTTGGAAACAGCTGAAGTAATTTTTTTTTTTTTTTTTTTTGATCACCTCTGACACCCTCCATATTCAGTGTATAATTCTTAGTGGAAGAAGATGATTAAGAAGATTATTTAGTTTATGTGCTGGCACACATTATCTAGTAACTGAACTCATGCTGCCCAGCTGGTGAAAGCCATTTCAAAATGTTTACTCAAAGCAACCAGTTTCATTTTTTCTTTAGATATTGCTCAACTTCTATATTTTAATTGAAATTCTTTCTAATTCCATCAAATATTCCGGTAAAATTGTTAAGCCTAATTTTATCATTTTACTATTTCATTTACAGCTGCTGAGGCTCCAAGCTAATTTAATATTGTTTTAATTGAGTTGTTATTCTGTAGGAAGTTAGTATTTGCTGTTTACTTTATTGATAATGCTCATTTGGACCTAATCTTTGCAAACTGATACTAGAGTAGTGCAGGTGGTAGCAGAAGTATTTTGAATCTTTAATAAAGTCCATCTCTGCTTCAGGTTTATGTCCGGTTAAGGCCATTCTTCCGAGAATTCCTGGAACGTATGTCTCAGATTTATGAGGTAAAAACAATTAGACATTTCCTTTGAATTTAATTTTTAATTATATTCGCATATTTGTATCTCAAATACTTACGTTTTCCCCTTTAATCCATAGATCATTCTTTTTACTGCTTCTAAGAAGGTGTATGCAGACAAGCTGTTGAACATACTAGACCCTAAAAAGCAACTGGTCAGGTAAAAATAAAAATTTGTGAACATATCTGTTGTAAACGAACCATTTCCCAACATACGTGATGAAGAAAGTGATGATGACATGTTTGCTATTGCAGTGTGTCTCACTAAACTGATTGTTTGTGTTTTTTTCTGGTCTAAGAGTGAGAGAAAAATGAAATGAGGTGATTGAATTATTGCCTTGGTGATAAGATAAACCCAGGCAGCTTTATGTTGCCCTCTGTGGCCAAAAACTGCGCCCGCTCACCCTCCGTAGCACGTTGGGCTTGCTCACTGAAGGGAAATGACCTCTTGGGTATCAAAAATGTGTCTGAGCTGCTTCGGAGAACCCATTGCAACTAAAGAAAAGGAACTGAGTGTTACATTGCTTTTGAAGGATTCAGACTTGATGTATTATTTGTAAATAAGGAATTGCACAGTTACTGTTACAATTGGCATGTTTTGATTTCCTACTCCATCACAAAATAATTCGTCTGCGGGGTTTGTTCTGGTTTTTCATTTCTTTGCTTGCTGCTGAGCTTTGGGAAGTGGCTGGCACTTCCCGAGCACAGTTCCCTAAGGCCCAGCAAAACCCTTCCCTTGCTCTCAGCCGGGAGGTGGGCTGTTCCGTGGGGAGGCTGGGACCGAGGAGGGGACGGCTCAGGGTTCGCCCCGCGCAGGGGAGGTGAACAGCTGCACCTCCTTGCAGGCGAACTCTGGGCGTTCTCCTCCTGGGACGTCACTGGCAAAGCCCTGCTCCGCCTCGCTTCACCGTGATGTTCTTCAGTGAAGACTTGATTTTCTTTGCGTGCCTAATGAAATCGCCGCTCGGGTGGCGCCCGTGGTTGCATCCGTTGTTTCCCCTCGGGAGTTCAGGCGCATTGTAACTCATTTGCCTTACGAGAGCAAAGATGAACTCTTCACTGGTGTTCATCCAGGAGCGGTCGCCTGAGTGCTTCCGTTTTTGTGGCACGCACAACAGAATCCCAGTTTGGTTTTGGTAAACTTACTTGCCGCTGCGTTTTTGAATGGGCAAACAAAACGAGACTTCCAAATACTTTGAATCACTGGAGTATCCGAGCCGAGCTGAATCACGAGCCAGACGGGACGTGTGAACAAGTAACCTCTTTGCACTTGCAGAAAAGGAGTCTGAGTGTGCGTCCGGGGCGTTAAAACTCTTTCTCCAGGAACTTAATACGTGTGATTCAGGAGTGCAATTTTAACTGCGTTAGGAGCAGGAAAAAGATAATAAAATACACAGCCAAACAGTATTCTAAGAATTTGCAGAAAGATTCACGTGACGCGTGGATTTAGCTGTGATTCATGTGCCACTGAAAAGCTGACATCAAGGCATGATTAGTTTTGGCATTAGCCTAAAGGTGGACTTGTCAGGCACTCCACACGTGTGACTCAGACTCTATATATAAATTCATTCGCTGCCGAGGCATCAGCTTATTTTCCTCCATAGCAACATTTAGGAACTCAACCCCTTTCTGGAGTTAAGCACACTATGTGCAGCTTCTAAAGACTTCATTGAAAAATAGCAGCAGCCTTAAAGAAACTGCATTGTAGTACGACTGTGTAAAACTCAAAATCTGTCTAGTTTACAAGTTATTTGTAAGTTATAATTCTGTTGATATTCCATGAAATGTGAGTTTTATTCCTGGTATTTTTTTAATCTGAGTCCTTTGAGTCTGTCTGTAATAAATTAAAAGGGAGTAGACTAATTGGAAAGGAAGAAGTTGATGGAATGTTTTGGCCTCCGGGCTTTTTTCAAGCTCTAATAACTGAAATAGGTTAATTGCGAACAGAGGTAACATAAAAAAGAAAACATTTCTTCTGATACTTTGTGTTCTAGCATGCAGTGGCATAGGGAGGCCGTGTGCTGTAACTGTTGGAACGAAACAAAGGGAGTGAACCCAATCAGTTGGCTGCTGTGCAGAACTCATCTCTGATCTTGGGGCCTTGCAAAAGCGTTTGAGTATTTTGGGTCTCTGTCAATCCATCTGCAAAAATGGTTAGAAAGCAGGACGGAGAAATATCTGCTACATCCGGGTTGAGCTTTTCTGTTTAAATACAAACAACTGCCTGCAGAAGTAGGTTAATATAAAATTACTCGAACCAGTAAATTTACCAGTAACAAGCTCGAAAGAGAATGGAAAAAAGGGAATAAATCTTTAAAAGGAGCTGGTAGGTCCAAAGAGAAGAAAACCTGGATAACGCTTGGCAAAGTTAACTTTTCTTTTTCTATATGCGACGTAGATGTTGTAATTTGTCTCATTAATTAGTATTTTACTTTAATCACAGGCATCGACTTTTCCGCGAGCATTGTGTTTGTGTACAAGGAAATTACATAAAGGATTTGAACATTCTTGGTAGAGATCTTTCAAAAACGATCATAATTGACAATTCACCGCAAGCCTTTGCTTATCAGGTAAGGGTGGTGCTGCCAGCAAACCCCTCAGGTACGCGGGACACCTTCCGCAGGAAGGCAGTGAAACGCTACGCTTCGATTTCGGTTTTGGGCTGAAGAACGTGTCCGAGTTTACAAACCAAACGGTAACAAATCGCTCAGGTTTCCCGGCTTTTCTCCTTTTTGCGAAGGGCCGGGCAAGTGACTTCCTGTAGGAGCAGCTCCGAGCAGTCGGGCTCATTTCTCGTGCAGCTTTTCGAACGAAACCACCAGGCTCCTAAGTCCGTCGCTCGGTCTCTAGCGCGGATTTAGTTTTTTACTGCTGCTGGAATGATTAAGGACAAGTCGCAGGTTGGAATGAGGCACAGCTGTGAAAATTGCTTGTGCTTACACGTTACAGAGTTATACCCTGGGATTCAGATTTTCCCAGAAGTCTGACATGTAACTATTCCAGTTTGTTATATGGATAAAGAAGCGCAGAGTGTGATCTCTAACATCTCACCCACATTACAGACGCAGGAAACCCCAGGCCTGTGTGACTTTGCCTCGTTTGCCGGTACGCTGTCAGTACCCATGTGTGTTTTAACATAACATGTTCACAAAATACCAATGCTTCTCGATTCAGAACTTTTAGAGCTGGTTCTGTTTCGGCTTTGATGTGGAAATTTTTGTAGTGATGTATGCAAAGGAAGGAGATGTTTTGGAAGTGAGTTTTAATACAAACTTTAGAGGAAAAGTGCATGTTAACAAGCTCTAGCTTGGAAACGTTTTCCCCAAAAATGCTCTTTCACAAGTCGCCTTTTTAGATAAATTAAGCATAAATCATGTGCTGATGATTTTTCTTTTTTTAAAAACTTTTTTTTTTTTTTTTTTTTAACTTTAGCTTTCAAATGGAATTCCTATAGAAAGCTGGTTCATGGATAAAAATGACAACGAACTCCTAAAATTGATTCCATTTCTGGAGAAACTTGTAGAGCTGGTAGGTGTTTGCTTTATTTCACTCTTCCCCAGCCCCCGCCCCAAAATTTTAGTTAGCTCTGTGAAGTATTTTCACATATTTTAAGATTGATTGAGTCGCTGAGATTTTGACTGCTAAAAGTCATGTGTGCCTCTTGTTGAAAAGGATACTCTGGGCAGTATTTCAAAGTATGCACAAGGACTTATTTACACAGCAAAAGACAGACCGTCGTTATTTCTGAGTGTGCTTTTAATCAAGAAATGGGGAATTGTAACATCAATCATAATGAAATTGAGACTGTAGGCATTTAGAATAATGCCTATTGCTGGCTCTGACGTGTGCCGTTATTTTTAAAACGCAAATAAATCACTCCTACGTTGCTGGTAACGTTATGTAGTTATTTCTCAAAGTCTCTTGTAATTACATATATTCACGGCTTATATTTTGTCGCATTAACGTACCGGTGTTAGAAAATCGACCCTGTTAAAACCTGATTGATGGATGTGTTCATTCTCCTAAAACCTGCCCCTTTTTTCTCCCCCCTCCCTACAGAACGAAGATGTCCGACCTCACATCAGAGACAGATTTCGCTTGCATGACTTGCTACCCCCAGATTAAAGCCTTTTGTCTAATTGCTGAAGGGGGAGAAAATGCAGGACCCTTTTGGACTAAAACAAAACATTGCCATTACTGTTGAAATTTTGCATTTTTGTACCCCGTCTTGCTTTTCTTATCTTTGGTGCCCAACAGTAATCAAGGGTTACAGAAAGAGACTTTATATATCTGAGATTGAATACATTCAGTACAATACAGTACAACGCAGTAGGTAGGCTAGAACAGAAAAGTCTTTAGAACTAGTGCAACTCCAATGAAATTTTTTTATGTACAGGACATCTGCAGTTTATAAAGAATTCTGTTTCTGCCACCAGCAGTTTGACCTGTAGAAACACAGGATTTTATGAAATAACAGAGATTGAAAATGGACTCTTATTTTCTCTCTGTTCGGTGCTCTAAGTGGGTTTGTAGCCACTTTTCTGTTACTTTTAAGATTCTCATTTCAACAGGAATGGCCAGTAAAAGTTGTTTTATTTTTCCTGTTAAGGTTTATAACCTTTTTACATTTTTGACCTGTATTAGATTAGAATTTCATTATGCATTCCTTTTAGTTGAGGCGCTTCATAGTTTTTCTGGAAATAGCCAAATTTTCTTAGTTTTTTATTAAACAGTTGGATGGCCGTTTTCCTGCTTCGTCTGCCTGCATACTGTATATTTGTTTAAAAATATTCTCTAGTTTTAGTCCACGTAAGTTTCATTTAGAAAGAAAAACCCCGCATTTATATTTTCTTTCTGTAATATTCTACTGTAGTTGAAATCTTTTCAAAAATCAAGAGACTGGCTAGATAAGAAGAATATAAGAATTACTAATATTCAGAATATTTTAAACCATTGTGATGGCATGTACTCTGGACAGACGATATCTTGCAGTGGCACAAACAACTGATGGACAAGGAATACCTCAGACTATGCTGTGCACGCAGATCTTGAAAGGAGAACTAGGTGGGTCACCTCTTAGGCTTGATGCAATCCGATTACTGCTGCCTTCTGTTTCCTCCAAGATTGAAGTATTCTGCACAGTGGCTCAGTATTTTAAGGTGGTTTGCATGGGCTGGTGGTACCTCTGTGACACTCGGCGTTACAATCAGTTTTACACTCGGGGTGACAGGAGGGTACCCGGCAGTAACTGTGCATAATCCTGTGGTACAGAACACTCCCCGCCACCGCGCAGGCAGCCTGCTCTCAGAGGGGTTTTCTATGCTATATGGAAATAGTCTTTCAGCCTTGGTTCTCTAATGCAGCTACTACAAGAGGTGGATATTTTTATAATGGTGTGTAATCTCCTTTTCAGGAGGCTTTTTATGGAAGGTATAATTTGTAAAAGTTAGGATGCTTTGCCTCTCGACTGCATTAACACGCCACAGGCTCAGACTGTTTTTGTGTAAAAGATGTCACAGAACGGCACTTTTTCTAAAGAGAAGTTTGATATTTTGTATGCTTGTTAAGAAAGTACAGTATTGGAAATTAAAGGTGGACAACTGATAATTGAGAAGTATGTCAATTAATTTTTTATGTATATTACCTGTTTACTTGTACAATTTTATTGTACAAATTACATGCAGCTTCATTTTCAAATGAGTCCTTAAAATAAGGAAAATCTTTTTAGGAAAACATTTAATTTTTGTATTTTTGATTTTAAAAGGCATGAGTTATGTCAACTTTTTCCAGTGTATTAATGAAGATTTTAACTTTTCATCAGGTTGAGTGTTTTCTTACTATATTATCTGTTGTGTATGTAGCTAGCACATTGTGTCACTGAACTGTTTAAAAAAATTAGCATGTAGAGCAAGCCTGTTTTGTGGAAAATCCTTATTCATTAAAAAAAAAAAAAAAATCATCATGGCAGATTTTCTGCAAAAAAGTGAAAACATTTGCAATTCAGAATACTGATTTTTTTTGTATTTAAAGAAAGGTATTTTGCTTGCAGGAAAGAAATACTACAGATTCATTTTAATGAGAATCTTTTAAATGTATTTATCTTTAGGGCATCTGGGCATCTTTACGCTGTTTGTCTTATGTCTTTATTGAAATAAAATGTACATAACATTACCTTTATATATGCTTTTGCGCAGACGTGTGAACCCTGTAACCATCCCCGTTCCTTCCTGGTTTTATGTCGATAAGATGGTTCTGGAAATATTTATAGATTTTGAAAATGGTCAGCTTGTATTTGAATTGCTACATGGTTTGCCAACTATTTTTTAGTTGTTCGTTAAAATGTACATCTAAATCTGAGATTTTTCATCAGTTTGACAGTGAATCCTTGTTTAATGTGGAATTCTTCCAAATTTCTCCAAGTAACTGACACAATAGAACTGCTTGAAAACTCACTAGTCTACCAGAATGAAACGATTTTTGTTAAGTAGCTCATCGCTTTTCTCTGACTGTAAAAAGAGATGATCATCTGTTCAAATAATGTCCTTAAACACCTGGGTCCTATCTTTGGCTAAAACCATTCTAAAAGTGCTTTCTTTAGTTAAGGAAACCAAAGCATACATTGCACTTTACAGCTGTATCTGTGTTGTGATGATCAGATCAGTGAGGGAAATCAAAATGTAAATCGAGGGATTTAGTTCTACATAGATGCACAACAAAAATAACAGAGACTGCTTAGTAAACATATTAAATATTAATATTTTAATGTGCTGCAAGTCTGGTATTTATCATTCTGAACTTCCTTTGCAGAATGAGTCTACCTTCTTCAAACTGTAAGTTCCTAAAAACGTCAAACACTTCTGGCAGAAACGGTCTTTGCATGGAGCAAAGTTGTAATCCGTCAGGTTTTATTTTTGTCTTATTAGTCTCGAGGGTGAGACTTAACTGTTTCCCTGCCGTGAGTCTGGATCCCACTGTGCCCGCCCAAACTGGCACTGACAACCGGGGGAGCCTCAGCTCTGTGCATCGCTCGAGTCGGGAGTGTAGAACTGCGCAACTCGAGCAGTTCATCTTGGAGCTGTGTCATTTCTTCCAATTTGATGTATTTTTAGAAAACACAACATCCTATTTCCAAAGTTCTTGATGATTTCGCTTGCGGTCTCTTGCTTGATCGTGGTAATTGTGTGTTAATTTTACATGCCCACGTGTATTCTGTTCTAGGTTTGAGCGTTCTTGGTTCTGACAGCAAAGTAATGTCTTTCATACTTATTTTGGTGATACGTGTTCGATCTTTTGGTTTTTCCTTAAGTTGCTATTGAGCTAGAATGGCATTCACCTCGGTATTATCGGCTTCCTTTCCACCTTCGTCTCATTTCAGCTTCCATCTGTGCAGGAAAAACCATTTTTTTCATTACTTTTGAAATGTATCAGAAAGCCTGCATGTTTCAAGACCTGATCCAAAATCCCCCAAACCGAGAGCGCTGTCAACCCGAGGCGCGCTGGGGAGACCTCTCTGCTTTAACCAAAGCACTTCGGGTCTCGGAACTGCTCGGGTGTGCGAGCGCTGTGCCCTCGCCCAGCCGCGGGTCTTGCCCACGGGGGAGTTCCCGGGCGGTCGCGGCCGGCACGGCATCGCGCCCGCGGGGCGGCGGGACCAGGAGGCAGCGGGTGAGGAGCAGGTGGAAATCTCACCAACCCCTCTGCCACCGGCAGAACAGCAACGCGGGCCCGCGGGCTGAAACCGCCTTTAGCAGCGGAGCTTGCCCAGACACACACAAATACTGTGGCTCTACTGAGTAAATACCCACAGTCCTTTATTCTTCCTCCTGGTTCTGGCTTCCTTACAGCATCGCGTTGCAAATCGCACCCTTTATTCTTGTCTAAACCCACTTGAATCAACCACGTATCGTTCGTATATTGAAGTAGATGATGAGATTCATAACTTCGCAATTTATACGAAATCTAAGGCGAGCCCCTGCCTGGGGCAAGACGCCTTTTACGGCCGGGAGCTGTGGCTGCGGAGCCAGGCGCGTGGCCCTGGCTGTCCCTCCTCTTGCTCCAGAGCGAGGGCTGTACGCCCCAGCGGGGGCGGTTACAGAAGTTGACTGTGCCTTCTCCCGTGCTCCCGGCATGTTCCGCTTGAAGGCCGTGGAGAGCGCACCTCTGCAAAGCTCAGATGTCACTGTCACACCGCTGCTTGCGTAGTTGAAATGAATCCGGTACAGATAGCTAAATCAGAGCTTCATAGAATTCAAGAAGTCAAGGCCAGACCGTAAACTTGCACAACCTACAGTCAATTTAAAAAACTTGTAAAACTGACAATAGCTGCTGGTGTGATACCAGCTCAGTTGGACAAGTTTGTTCCAGCAGGTGCCAAGAGAAGCTAATCACTTACATTAAAATAATGTCTTCCACTGTAAGTAGAGCGTCAAGTTAAACAGTTTATTTTTCTGGTAAATGGACTTCTACGGATCTATGCGGCAAAGATGACAGATGGCACCTTTGGTCTGCAGTCGTGCCAGTCCCACGTTTCATGCCATTAAACGTCTTTCAACTCGTTATCAGAGACCGATTCGAGAAGAGAGAAAGCAATCGCAGTCCCCCAGGCAATGCGGGGAGCATCGGACCGCAGTGCACAGCTGACTGTTGGCGGCCCTCGCCTCCCGAGAGCGAGGTAAATGTCTTTGTTTTTAGAAGACAAATGCCTCCCTCTTTCTGGGAGAACTAACCCGTCGCGGGCGTTCCGTCGGTATCGTCAGGCAAAAAGATTGTTTCGAGGCTTGGAGTTAAAAGGGCCCTGACAAGCCGCTCTGCGAACAGTGCGGGTTGGGGTGCGAGGGCTCCAGGAGAAGGGGGGTGGCAGCGGAGCTGCCCAGCAGCCGGGGCTGACCCCAGGCCGGGAGCTTTTCCCTCCTCCTTCCCCGCCGTGCCCGCTCCCCTGGGCCGGGGGCCGGCCCCGCCGCAAACCAACCGGCCACAGAATGAAGGAAGAGGAAAAAGCGGGGTCGTGGCAGCGAGGGCTCCAGGCCTTGGATCAGCTAAAGCTGCTGGGGAGCGAAGCTGTGTGGAGGTCCCCGGGAAGGCAGTTTTTCTGGAAACGGTCCTTGTCGCCTTCAACTCCTTCGGCTGGGGAACAGCGTCGCTGGGTATCCTGACGGCGCTAACGGACTGCTCTCCAAGATCTGCTTACACCAAACCCACGTCATTTCAGCTTTGCGTCTCGGGCTCTTGATACTTAAATCAAATCCTAAGCAAGTTGATAAGAAGTAGCATAGGCGCATCATTTTCTTAGCTAGCAGTCATAATTTTGTAAAAAAAAATATAAATAACTAAAAAAACAAAACAACCACCATTGGCAGCAAGCGTTTTTGTTTGGAAGCGAGCAAGGATGGTCTGCTGAGGATTAACTTGTATAGATTTTGTGAAGCACATCACTATTTTGGTTGTCTTGACTGTGTAATGTAAAACTGTTTTGCTTTATTTTTTTGATACTTGGAAAAATGTCATTGTACTGATAGGCTGAATCTTGTAAAATACAATTGGAAGAGAACTCCTGTTCTACAAATCTGTGTTTCTTCTGCAATCATTTCTAGTATATAGAATCATAAAGATTTATATTAAATATTTATGCTCTGGCTACTGTTTTTATGATTTTTAGCCAATCCTATCCTTCACTGAAGACTCTGTTTTCTATAAAGCAAGACGTTTCTCATGGCAGTTTTCAGTCTTTAAAATGAAGGGAACAATCAGTGTTGTTTGGTTTTAAAAGCTAACGATACCGGAGGCTGCACAAGAAAAAAAATAAGGGGGTTTGTGTACTAAAACTGTTACAGCAGATTCTTTTAAGATGCTCTTGCTTTGAGTCTGATTTTCAATATGCAGTACATATTCTAGTGGATATCTTCTGTAAAATGACCACAAGGCCCGGTCTGTCGCATTTTTATTAGTCTCTCCTCCTAAGCAGAAACCTTTAGACTTCTCCAAAATGGGAACTGTCTGGCTTCCTAGAAGGTAGAAGTTCCTCTGACTCAGAGCTGTGCTGAGCAGGGTTGTTTTTCTTTGTGCCTTAATTTCCTCGTCCATACAATGGAAATAATACTTTTTATCCAAAAATTTATCCAAATTTTTAAATTACTTGAATGTGCTATGTAAATACATAGTATTTTTAGAATTAACGTGTTCCCACTCATTGCCCAGTTCTTGCCAGTTTCATAATTACCCTCGCAGCACACTGTGTAGACGTGGTGAGGATATCTCGACATTATTTGATCTACAGCTGTAGCTCTGTTGTTATTGCCTGGTAAATGGGCAACAACAAAAAAAGGATGATAAATTTGGATGTAATTTTTTTTTTTAGCTAACATGTATCATAGATCATTCCACCTGTTACATGACAGACACGTGCTCTTCTAAATTTATTGTCTTCAGACAAAATAAATCCTCCTTTTCCACTTCATCGCTCAGATTCCCACAGAAATCCCAGAGTTGGGAGATGGCAAGGAAGTAAACTGGATGAAGTGAATGTTTCCAGCTTTTATGTATTTTTGATGTTCTTTGGCAAGGTGGAAGGAAACACCACCGCAAAGCTTGGCTGGAGGAGGCTCGGGGGCTGGTCTGTAGCCCCCAGGCACATCGTGGCTTTGATGTTTAATCCTGACATAAAGGTGTCCTGCACTAATAACCTGCTCCACCAGCAACAGCCAAACAACGCGGAGCATCAGATGTCAGCAGGTCTGTGACCAGTCTGCTTACCTCTGGCCGAGCCCGAGCGCTGGAGCCACCGAGGTCTCTCCCGTGGTCGTGTGGGCAGAGCCATCTAAGGGGACAAGACGAGCCTGAGAATTTCAAAAGAAACGTTCCCTGGGACCGGTGGGGAGGAGGCTGGAGAAGAGTGATGACTTACAGTTGGGTTTGTGTCCTGGGGCTACAGCCTTTCCGTCCCTCAAGTCTCTCTTCAGTCTGAGGACCGAGTGCTGCATTTGTGGACACTTAATTCTTGTCGGCGAGCTTTACCCTTCTGCTCCGTTTGGTTAAGGTCAGCTCCTGTGTTTCAAGTCTTCGGTAAAGGACTCTGATACTCCTCTGGTGGTCACAAGGCCACGATCCCTCAGGGATCTGAGCTAAAAAAAGCACACCCTAAACAGCATCATGTGGGTAATTTGTGAGAGTGCATTCTGGCTGCTAGACTATCGCTAGGAGTTCTGCTGCAGCCACTCGCCCATGTTCCCAAAACCTAGGAAGTGCCTAGTCATAACCTACTTCTACTCTAAAGTTTATCCTGTTAGGGGATTAGGAGACACTTCATCGCAACATTCAATTACTTTTTCTTTTCTTCTCTCTACCACTCACCCATATAACCATCCCATCAAGCTCCTAGCACAGCGCATTTCCAGAGGACTGTAAGAGGCGGCGGAACGCGGCCAGCCCGAAAGCCTCCCCTGCTGCTTTGACCAACCTCCTTCATCGCTTCTGCTGAACTCCTGGAGAAACGTCCTGTCGTGTCATCGATACGCCTCTTTACTCAACAATAACTTGATAATCAGATCTTTTATCTTCTTGTCTAAGTTTATTAGGCTACACCTTCTTCCCTTACCGTAAAGTATATTACTACAGTTTGATCTAGTGGAAGGTGTCCCTGCCCATGGCAGAGAGGTTGGAACTAGATGATCTTTAAGGTCCCTTCCAGCCCAAACCATTCTACGAGTCTGTGATTTAGATTATTTGCTGGCAAGTCAAGTCAGCGTGAAAGATATTCAGATAACAGTACTGGAGGATGAACCTTTCCACATCCCACTCCCAAGGTCCTCTGAAGTGAAAACAGCTGAAAGCAGCAGTGTTCAGGTGGACACAGGACTTGCTAGGTGGAACTTCTGGATTTGTGGCTCTTGCTTCTTGTCTGGTCTCTATCAGTTAGAAATTATTTCAGTGTTGCAACAGAAGCATGATGCTTCTAGGAAGAAGACATCCAAGGTGACACAACAGTGCTCTTGAGATAGCACTTGCAAGTCCCTCAGCAAGTTAAGAGACGCTGTCAAATTACCTTAATGGGATGATACTGATTTTCATGGCGTTACTGCTCAGCGTTAAGTAATACAGAGCCCAGAATACTTTAAAATAGCCCGGTGATTGAATCAAGCAGTTCTGGACTACCTGAAAAGCAACAAGTGTTTAACTCATCAGTACTGCCAACATTTTAAGAAAGGGAAAGAAGAATCTGAGTCAGCTGAAGGAGAGTCAGCTAAGGAAGCTTAATGGTCAACAGTTGGGGTGTTTTCCTAGCCTTTGCTTTTTGCTCTGTTTGAATCATGCATTAATATTTTTTAATGGGTAAAGGATCTTCAAAAGAGTGTGCTTCTTGCTTTTAATTCCCTAAGGAAAAAAGGAGACATGGCAGCAAAGGGAATAAATTCAGACCAGATACGAGGGCAACTCCTAGATGGATTGCCTGATACATATTCCAGTAGGACTTTCTCCTTTTTCAAAAACCCTTCATTTTCCCTTTTTCTATTCCACTTTTGTGTCCATTTCTTACATATTTTCAAGAATCAGTATCTAGAGATCAAGTTTTGGAATGAGCCTGTTTCCTTTACCATCACAGAGCAGCCTGTCTGCAACATCAGAAGATGAACCCGAAGCAACCAAGAACGGAACGGGGGGTCGGTCGCTGAAGTGTCAGCTGGCAAAGTCCACCCTGTCTGAGGCTAGTTTCCCAGAGTTGATGCTATTGTTTTGTGGTGTTAAGCCTATTTATGGTGAAGCCCTGCCACCTGCAAAGGGTGTGAGCCACCAGCCCAAGCTTTGCCTTTAATGAGGAAAGGCAGTTTTCAGATTTGGGGCTGACTTCCCAGGCTCTTTGTGGAATAGTGGTTGGTGTGAAGAGTGTTTGAAAACCACCAGTTTCTTTGTGCAGGTATGAAATATTACTGCTTTAACTTTACTTGTGATTTGTAGCAGCACACGCCGAGTATAGGCATGGTTGTAGTCGCATAAAGATTCTCACCGTAACACCGCTTATTCCCTCTTCTTCAGAGGACAGTGCGCCAGGACAGCGGTCCCCGCAGCAGCAGTTGTACTTCAGAACACTCCCTGCTTTATTCCCCTTGCGCGGCCACATTCACCCAACCTGCCCCCTCAGCGACCGGGCGCTGCCAGGCCCGCGGCCTCGGGCGGGAGCGCTCGGCAGACGGGGTGTCGGACCCGCCGGGCCTCGGGCCGGCGCGGGGGAGGCTCGCTCGGCGATGGCGGCGCAGAGCCTGAGGAAAAAGAACCCGGGGAAAAGGAGCCTGAGGGGAGCGGGAGAGACGACGAACCTCTCGCTCCGACCCTCCGCCCTGCCCAACATGGCGGCCCCGCCGTCCCCTCACAGCCGGCCCCGCCCCTGGGGGGGCGGAGCTCGGCGCGGGGCGCGCGGCGCCGGCTGAGTCCGCCGCCGTCCCGGCGTGCTGTGCGCGCGGCGCTGGCTGGGGGCCGCTCTGGCGCCGCTGCCTCACCGTGCCTGCCTGCGAGCGCCGGCGGGGAAGATGGCGGCGGCGGAGGCGGCGGATTCGTGGGGTGAGTGGCGGCCGCCCCAAACCTCCCTCCCCCCTCTCCCCCGCCGCCCGCCCGCGCTCACCCCATCTCCTCTCCCCCGCAGACGCCGACAGCTTCGAGGTGGTGGAGCCGGTGGCCAAGCGCCTGGTGCCGGGAGTGGCCGGAGACCGCTGGGCCGGCGAGGATGAGGAGGACGACGTGAAGGTGCGGCCCTCGCGGCGTGGCGTGGCGAGCGGGCCGCGGCCGGGTGGAACGGCGTGTGCGGTGGGGGTGGGGAGGGGGACGGACACACGCGGGACCGCGGCGGGTGGGGAACCTGCCCCGTGGGTCGGGCCGGCTGGGTTCCCGCGGCTCCGCTGGCGAGGCCTGGCCCGGGGTGGGGGGGGGGGGGGACGGACACGCGTGTCCGCGGCTGGGCCCTCGGCCCCCCCCCCCCCGGGCGGGTGTCGGCGGCTCGGCCCGTGTGGAAACGGCTCCCGGGTGTTGGCGCTGCCGAAGGGCAGCGGTCGGTTACAGATGACAAGTCAAAATGCCAAGTGGAAAACGAGCCTGTCCCTGCCCCGTGCTCCCTCGTCCCCGCTCAGAGCGGGCCCCCCCACGGGGTTCGCCCCCGCCGTGCTGGGTCTTCCAGGGGAGATGACAGACAGAGAGACAGACAGACACGTTTTTTCAAGCCCCACGAGGCGTCTCCTGCTCTCTGGGGGTGGGAATCCACCTGCTGCTTCCCAGCTGCTTGTCCAGGCTCCCGGGTGCTTTCCTGGGGCTGGCTGGTTGCCCCCTTGCTTTCTGTAGCCTTTCAGATTTGTAGTTTTGAGTGGGTGAGGCATTAGGGTCGGATTGAAGGAAAGCAGTGCTGAATTTGTGCTTCTGCTGTTGACCAGAAACTTATGCGTTGTCTTTTCCACCCTTTCTTCTTCACACTCCCCCTTTCCGCAGGCCCCACTGCCACAGGTGGAAAGTACAGCAGCCTCACTGTGCAGTTTCAGGTTTGGTAATGCCCAGATCACTTAAAAATACATTTACTTAAGGTACTATTTGTCATGGGTTTTTACTGTGTTTCAAAGAGAGATGTCTACATGGACTCTGTAACAGAATGCACAGATGGTCATTTCTGGTGGTTATGAAAACAGACCTTCCTTAAAAGCTGGTTTTCTCCTACTTAGTTCCAGCTGGCCCTTAGCAAGCTGAGGGGACTGAAAGGTGGATGCCACAGAAACCTCAGTTTGCTCCACGTTCATATGGACAGTAAACAAAATGATGCCAGGGAACATACACAGAGTGTGCTTGGTAAGGAATGGAAATAGGTCAACTGAAAAAGACCTTTTTGTTTCAAACCAAGCTGCTGAGATACTGTAGTAGAAAATCGCATGAGGTGGCTCAGTTGTTGGAGTGTGGTCACAAGTATGAAGCTTTCTGAAGCTGCTTATTGAGTGAGGACTTGTTGGGCTTGTTACTTAGGCCACTGATTGTGTTACCAGAATCTCTGAAAAACACCAACGCAGTTGTCCTTGGAACTTAGGGTGGTATTCTTTTTATAAATAGTACAAAAAAAGTAGTGCATCTTCTCTTAACAAAAAAAAATAACAAATTTTTGTGAGTTACAGACTGTTCATTTTCCTTCTTAAATTTAATAACGCCCACACCCTGTAGTTATCACAGCTGCCACATTACAGCAGGCAAAATAAGTAAAGGTATCTCTGTATACAGTAGCTGTGGTTATTTGTAAAGAGTGTGGTTAGCATGTAACTATATACGTATATATATAATTTATGTATGTATATGTGTATATATACATGTGTATCTCAGACTCGGTGTCTCTGTGAGGCTGGCTTTTTGCTTTTCCTCCTTCCTTTGAAAGCCAGACGCTTTCCTGCTATGATAGAGTGTGTCCAAGCGAACCGGACTCTCAAGTGTTATTCTCTCCAAGGCACGGGTGCTTTCTGTGGCTGTTTTCATAAAGGAGCACACTTTCCCCACACATAGTAAGACTGCAACTACTTGACTCTTTCTGAGGGATATGGTTTTAGTACTGGAGCTGCATCTGGAGAGAAGGACCGATCCAGCAAAGAAAGCTATTTTGTTTTGCTTTGATTTGCTCTTCCTGTGGAAACACTAAAGGTCACAGAACTGAGCCTGGGAGGTGGTTGCTTCGGCCCCAGATTCCTTGTTTGCAGGGGTCTGCCTTGGGGAAGTACCTGCATATGGGAAATGACATGGTCTCAAACAGAAGCACAAAGTGTTTTCTGGCAATTATTTGTTTTAAGGATGGTGTTTCACATTTTGGAATGTCTTGTATATATTCGGATTCTGTAGTTCATTTGGGGAAATTTTTCGGTAATGAACTTGAAGGAACCGTTAAGTTAGGGAACTTTGACTTCCCCCGGTTAAAATCCGCGTCTTCATCAGTAACAAAACTCCCCTCCAGTGTTATCCCGAACACAAGTTTCCCAGAAGACGGGCCTCCTGCCAAGGAATTTTCATCTGTTTACTCTTGGGCAATTCTGGGCTTAGCGAAGCTGAAGCTGGGAAACGTGCTTGTTGTCATCCAGGCGACAGCCTCTGGCCCGGCACCGTCACTTCCCTTTGAAGGAGAGTGTTCCGGGGAGGCTGGGAGTCTGAATGCTGGGGCACCTGTCACTTTGCAGTCACGTCTGCTGGTCTTGGGGGGGGATAAGGGGCATTATCGTACGCTTAAGGTACCTGTGGCGGAGCCTATGAAACCATAAGAGAGCTGCTCTCATCAGGGGCTTGTTTACATGGAATGGAAGATGTTTTCAGTAACCTTATTTTAGATAAGTATGCGTAAATGAGTATTGCTGAAATACTTCAAAGTTTTAAGCTACTTTAGTGGATATATTTTGGAATAAAGATGTCCTCTTTGAATTACTTAGTATTACTGGAAAGATAACATCACTAAAGCAATTTTCTTTTCCTCTGAGAGAGTTCGCAGGAATTTACAAAACACAGAAATAGGTGTATATTTGGATGCTCCCCCCCACCCTCAATGTAAAAAAACAAAACAAAACAAAAAAATGCCTGCCCAGTATATATTACTCATGTTCTGCGGCTGCTTAAAAGAAAAAGCAAGCTTGGAACGAGACAGTATTCAGCGCAGCTGGTCGACCTGCGTACCTCAGCACGCCGGGCCGGAGCGTGGCGATGCGCGGGGCGTTCCTCCCGGCACGCTGAGCTCCGGTTCCCGGTCCCCGGCGCCGGCAGCCACGGCTCTGCTGGTGGGGCTCTGGGGAGGCTCCCGCCAGCCGCCCACCCCGCCGGGGGAAGTTGGCATCTTAGGGGGCAGGTTGGGCTCACGCTGTTCGGACGTCGCTTGGTCCCCCGGGCTCTGGAAGCTGCAGCTGCGCAGGCGTGGCGAGCGGGGACGTGCTCTGCGGGGGGAAGGAGCGCCTCAGTCACCACGTGGAAGTTCTTCCCCCCCCCTCGTCCCTTCTGTTCGGCCTCCCAAACGCACTGCTGCCGTGCCGTGGTTCCCTTCAGTCCCGTGCGTACCCTCGCATCACGGACAGGGCACCCTTCCTCTAGGGTTGGGCACCGTCACACACTTGATTTTGAAGTCTGAAGGACAGGGCAAGGGATAAGGCAGCAAGCTCTGTACAGCAGTAATGGAAAGAACTATTTAAGAAGTGGGTGTGACAAAGTCTTAATTAGATATGAGCTAAAATGATGCCGCTCCAAATTCAGGTCAGCTTCTTGGAATGTGGAAGGGAAGCTGAATCCCTTACAAGTGCCAATTAACTTGAGTGAGCTGGTAGATGAACTCAGGTGTCTTCCTTGCTTGGATCAGCACATTGCAGTGAAATACTGAGTTCTTCCACCAGTGTCTTATTTTGCCATACCCGTAGCAACCCTTAGAAGTTAACGAACTGCTTGCATCACTGATGTGAGGTTGAAGTCAAAACATTCAGGATTTACAGTTTTTCTGTTTACTGACAGTATGGATGTACTGACATTGTGATTTTTGTGTAAACTAGGTCTGGTCAGATGCAGTCTCTTAAACTTGCAAGTTGAGTTGAAACAGGTAACTAAAGTTTAGATGCCTGTGAGGTCTCTTGGCTTTAACTTCTGGTGTGTGCCTCGTGTGGTGCTCGGCGTGTAACTTCAGATCAGTTTTAGAGCATTGATTTCCATGTGGAGCAGTGTTAGGACAAGAAAAGGTGTTCCCATAGCTCTTACCCAGGTAAGCGTCGGGAGGAAGGTGCGGAATTAGGGCTGGCAAGGTCTGGAGGTGACATCAGCAGGTCACTTCTGTAGGAAACGACGCTTCCTCAGGACTCGGTTGAACCACGGCTCATCCCCCTGGGTACAGGACGGTGGCTCTGGGGGGAAGGAGGGCTGGGGGCGATGGCCCACGGCGAGGCGTGCAGCACGGGGGCTCAGGACCACCAGGAATCCTGAACATGCTGAAGGTGAAACCTGGAGGCGGGGAGTTACTGCGAACACCGCGGCTGAGACCGCTGGAAAATACGCTCGAGAGCGCGATGGCTGTCGGAGCGATTTGTTTGTGGCAAGGGCCTCTCAGAGCTCCTTTGCTTATAGAAAAAGCAGTAGTCGTTGGTCAAAACCAGGGTCTTGCGGCTGTTAAAAGTTGGTGTTTCTGCCCGAAGTTGGGCTCCCTGCCTTCTCCTCGCCCTGCTCACCGCCGCTTTCCCCGCTCCGCGGCGCAGCCTCGGCGGATCGGGCCGGCGTCCCCCCGTGTGGCGCGGTCCCACTCCCACGCTCTGCCCAGCGTGGGAGGGGGCTGCGCTCGGGCCGCCCGGCTCTGGGGAGGGGGCGGCTGGGAGGGTCCCTGGGAGGGGGTGGCAGCGTGGTCTGGTTTCGAAGGGTGTCGGCTCCCGGCAGGGCTGTGCTGCGTGCCGGCGTCCGCCAGCAGTCCGGTGTCTTGTAACGTGTGATACAAAAACTTACAATAAACTCAGGTTTTACTGCGGGTGCTGGTTTGACTGCTCGTGATGTTGCTTTTGTAACTGTATGGACACGAGCTTTCCGATTCTTTGACTAAAACCTGCCTTTTTCACGGTAAGAACGGGTCCTGGATCATCTCGGGTCACCTCCCAAAAGCCGTGCCCTTGTGCAGCTCTCACGGCTTCCTCCCCAGTCCCTCACTCCAATATCTGAGGTTAATGGATATGTGAGCATTAAGGAAGTTACACGTAAGCTGCGGTTCCTTGTTACCTACACAGGTAGAAAGTATCTGTAAAAGAATCTTAATTAAAACTTATTTTTTAATTAAAACTTATTTTGTAGGATAACTGGGATGATGAGGAGGAAGAGGAAGAAGTAAAGGAGACAGAGATAAAACAAGGTATGCAGCATCAGAACAGACACTGGTTTTGTCTTGAGTGTATCTGGAGAATCAAAACCACTTAATAGGGCTGGTTCTGGTTTTTTGACAAAGCATGTCTTTTAACTCTGTGTTCAGGTTCTAGTAATTGAGCTCTGTGGCTTTCTCTTTGATTAGTGTTTCTATAGTTGCTGGGAAAAAAAAATCTGTAGAGCTCAAGAGCTGTGTTGTTCAATGTTTTACAGAACCAAAAGTTTCAGAAAAAAAGAAAATAGCAGAAAAAATAAAAGAAAAAGAAAAGCTACAGAAGAAGAAGCAAGAGGAGCTTAAAAAAAGGGTAACTCCTTATTTCTTCCGGGCCTCAAAAAATTTAGAGGGCAGGTTTGATTTTTTTAAGGTTGAACAAGACCTGAAAAGATCTTGACTAGTGTGATAAAACAAACAAGTCTTGTGCTTAATAACATCTGGGGATGTTAGCTTTAATTTCTCTGTAATCTAACCAGGTATTGAAATAATGCTTATCTGTTTCTTTTGTAAGACACCGCATGATAAAACATGCAGTTGTGAAACTTTAAGCTGTTTCTTCCCATTTCTGGTAAAATGAACAATTTTTTAAACAATGTGGCATTGTTACACTTGATTGGGGTGGTTTTCAGGTTTGTACGTCCTTGAGGTGTACTGAGTTGAGGCAGAAGCAAGCTACTCAGGTGACACTGGAAAAAAGCGATTTCTTGTACTACCTCTGCTTAAGGGTACGAAATGAAACGTTCTCCCTGTATGCGTTTTCTTAACTCAGTTAGAGGCACCAGAGGAACATAAAGAACTTACACCAGAAGAACAGTTAGCAGACAAACTACGGCTAAAGAAGTTACAAGAGGAGTCAGACCTTGAGTTAGCAAAAGAAACATTTGGTAAGTGTGCTGTGCCCAGCCGAGCGGCGCTGTAGCCTCCGATAGAGCGGTGTTAGGTGGGGGTGCCCTGCAGCAAGAGCTGAGCAGGGTCTGTCTGTGGGAGCACATGCGGGTTGTGCTGCTGGGAAGAGAGAGGGGTTTCAGTTCAAACTACCGGAGGCACGTCCTGGTACTAAGGACTAATTGTAAGAACCACAAAAACATCTTGAGAATAGAAGGTGCTTTCTCTTAACGTCACGGGAGGGGGTTATAGGAAAAAGACAGCTGAGTAAATTTTCCAGCGTATGGGCGCTTCTGGTAGAAGGAGGAGTGTGTAAAAAGGGCAAAGTGCCGTCTCTTAATGTTGTGAGGTGCTTTGCAGCATGGATTTAATGAGGCTTTGGGCAAGTGTGAGACAGCGTGACGGACGTGTGCTTCACTTTGGGCAGTCTGTGCAATAGGGTCGGTGTTGAGAAAGCCAGGGAGGTTGGGGAATGAGCTTGTTGCCTGGCGGAGACAAAGTGGACTTAAAGCAGATCGTTCTGGTTTGTGCCCCGGCAGAACCAGCAGATACTGATTCATAGAAGCATTCTTCAAACATGAAAGCGTGTTTCCTTGATTATAGTGAATTATACAGCTTATTACTCAGTGACAGTTCTGCTCTGTGAGTCCTCTGAAAGAGTACGCTGCCTCGGGCGGGGTGGGGGGTGCACTGAATACACTTGCAAAGAACCGACTAAATTTTGCACTTAGGAGCTCAAGACAGGAATTCTTTATTGAAGGGCAGAGGGGCTTCCTGCAGTGCATGCTGCTCCCGAGAACAGGAGCAGCCCGTTCAGATTACCAGGTTCTGCAGCAGAACATCTTCCCGTCCAGGCTGGTACCGCGGGCTCTTAGCTTGGAGCGAGCAAACCTCAGCTTTGGTTTTGTAAAGCCTCGGTGGGGGTGAAGGAACTGAGTGGGGTTACTTGTTCCTCCGGCGGCGTCTGGCGGGGATCGCAGCTAATGTTTCCTGTCACGCCTCTATCTCCCTGTGCAGGTGTAAATAACACTTGTGGAATAGATGCCATGAATCCCTCTTCAAAAGATGACTTTACGGAATTTGGCAAACTACTAAAAGAGAAAATTACGCAGTATGAAAAATCATTACATTATGCCAGTTTTTTGGAAGCATTAGTTCGAGACGTATGTATTTCATGTAAGTTAAGTGAAAGACGTCCTAGAATACACTGCTACTGAAATTGTAATGGAGTTCAAGTTGAAAACATGCTGTTATGGTAAATGATAAATGAAGATGATCTATGCAGTTGATACTGAGGAAGTACTGATGTTTCACTGCCAAGCATCCGATCCCATTCCCACCAGCGTTATTACAGATGGTGTGCTTGTGCAAGCGTTACTCCTCCTGCCTGTCAGTTAAAGACAGTCACTTTGGAGTGTGAATTTTTATGTTGATCTAAATCTTGTGTGTTTTACTAAAGCTATTTCTAAAATAATAATTTAAAAAAAAAAAAAAATCTCTGAGCCAGGTAACTTGAGTAACTCAGTTGGAAAGAAACTGTTACCAAGAGTTCATGTAATTGGGGGGCCGCAAAATAAATTATTCTGGAGTTCAGCATGTAGCTGTACAGAGAGGAGGCTACCTGAAAGGCAGTTCTCCCCGCTGCTCTGGTAGGCTGAAGTGCGTGGTGAGCTCGTGGCGCCGAGATGGGTCCCGCCTCTTCCCAAGTGAGGGACTCGCCACCTCTGGGACCCTTGATCGTTAATTTATTGTTAATCCTCCTTTTGATACGTTTTACTGTATCTGTATTTTACTGTTAAATGCCTTGCCATTAGGACTGCTGCACTCGCTAAGCAATTTGGGAGTTTCCCCTTGCGCAGCCCTGGGGCTGCTCACTAGGGACCATCTGAAATGGGAACTGTGACTAGAGGGACCACAATTACCCAGCCTGTATTTTGCTGATTTAAATCAAGTAATCGCCCATACGGATTACTAATGCTTATTTCTACTTTATGAAGAATGTTGATGTTAGATTATTTAGCTGCCTTTTAAGAATAATATTGATGAGGAATCTGTTTTTCTTTTTTTTTTTTCCTCCTGATGCAGTGGAAATTGACGATTTGAAAAAGATCACAAATACTTTGACAGTACTATGCAGTGAAAAACAAAAACAAGAAAAGGTAAGGCTTCGGTGTGCTTCCGTAGCAATATCGGTACCTGCCTGAGGCTAATCTGGAAAATGGCAAGAGGTTTAAGACTGACTTGAACTGCTGATTTTGTTAGAGGTGGTAGCAGGAGATGACATGATAATCTTGGATACTGGTTAAGTGTTAAATCCTCTTTACTGTGTGAGGTAATCAGGAGTTGATTGAATCAAGAGATCGCAGGCAAAACCTGGATTAATTTACGTAAATGTTACCCTACGTGCTAACCTTGTTCTGTTTTATGCTGTCCTGGCGTTAAAACGCCTTGCAGGGATGTCCTGAGGGCAGAAGCCAAAGAGTTAAATGGCAACACAGTCTGGGGGGGCAATGCAGATCAGTGCCACAGCTTGGGATTTTAATGCTGCCATGCACACTAAAGGAGCAGTAAATACATAGGCAAGGAAGAGGATAGGTTTTAGAAGGTGATGTAATGGCTTCACTGATGCTTCTGTGCTGCAAGACGTTGTGTTTTACAGCATACAGCTCTGTTAGAACTCCAGGTGTGCTGGAGTTGGGTGGCTGACTGAACTGTTAGATGGCAACAAAATCGAGCGGGAGAACGCGACTGGCAGGGGGATTCCTTTGGCCCGTGTTAAATCGGATCGGGGGATCGGGAGGGAACCGGTGGCCGGGCACTGGCCGTGGGAGCAGGAACCTGTGAATGTGCCATGGGCGAGCTCCCGGGCAGGACGTGCGGCGGCTGGGGCGTCCGGAGTTGAGGATTAACTCGGGAGTTGGGCACAGGGGATGAACCGCGTCTTTAGTGTGAACTGCACTGTGGGGAGGAGCCTTAGCTGCCGCCGAGCCAGACGAGGCTTAAAAGAAAAAGGTTGTGTATTTCCTATTTTCATTCTCTTCTCTCCTGGCTTTTCCTGTAAATGAGTTTGGGCGAGCACTGAAAGCTACAAGTGCCACAGTGCAGCGAGGAAAAGCTTCGCTGTGCAATGTTCTGGAAAGTTTGTTTAGGACTTCTGGGTTTTTTTGCAAGGAAGACACTCAGCCGCTGTGGTGATCAAAGCAACATGGCATTCCTTAATTACATCGGTAATTCCACAAAGCTAAACACCAGGCTCTGCATTTACTTCCTCATTCTGCTTGTGTGGAGTGGAGCTGAAATAGGATGAATGAGGGAACGTGGGCGGGAGCTGGGGGACACGGGGAAGTGCCGGAGCCTCGCTGGGGCGGGGCTGCATTGTGGGATGAAACAGGGCAGGGGTGCGCGGCAGTACTCGAATCGCAGGGTGACAACGGGCTGGGGATTTTCGAGTAAACGTGCTCTTCCTATTTAAGCAGAATAAAGCCAAAAAGAAGAAAAAAGGTGTTGTGCCTGGAGGCGGTTTAAAGGCTACTATGAAAGATGACCTGGCTGATTACGGAGGATACGATGGAGAATACGTACAAGACTTTGAAGACTTCATGTGACATTTATCTCCCCTTCTGTTGTCTTTCTGTTGCCCATAATCCCTTAAACATGTAGCACAACTTTTCTTCCTTTAAATTCTGCCAAATGCTACAATCAAAATTGCAGTATCTCTGTGCTGGTGGTTTAACTCTTGACGGGTCCGTGCTAAAGCACTGGGCTTCCTGGTCTGTGGTCGGGGGTTAGAATGAAGGTATTTAAAAGCTATGTAAATTGCCGTTAAAAACCCCAAATTCTGATGATGGTAACTGTTGCTATTTGATTTGACAGTGACAGCCGCTAAATTGGAAAGGCATTTCAATGAGGAGAAGTATTACCAGCACAGTCCAGTGACACGGCCTTAACTGTACCTCCTGGGATGACGTGGCTGATGAACAAAAGCGGTTTGCAGCAAGGGCATGGTGTGCACTCAGTAGTACAATTGCTTTGTCTTAAGTTAGAGCTTGAGGTTTTCAGTGTATTGCGAAGGGGAACTGCTCACTTCGGGGCGAGGGGGCGGCCCCCCAGCCCGACGGCTCCGCCTGGGGCAGAACAGGGGAGGAGGGGCTGCCTCGCACCAAACCCACTTGTGTCTTGAGTATGAAGTTTAGTTTCCATTCATCTAAATTTCTACTAATGCAGCTGTATGGGTTGGGTGTTCTTTAACAGTTAATTGCCTGGTTTAAGTGTAAAAAGAAAAAAAACCAAGATTTCCTTTTGGTCTCTCCTGGGTTGTGGTAGATCTTGCACAACTCAGCCATTTTCTTTCATTAAAAAAAAAAACAAAACTTGCTTAGCAAACTGCAACAGTTACTACAGTTGGGCAAATTGTTATGTTAACAATTACGACATCTGCAATGTTTTATAAAGCAACTAATTTAATAAAAATCACTATTGAGGACTTCACTCGGGCTGTCTTTGGGCCAGTTCTTCTGGCATCTTCCAGTAAAATACCTGAAGTGGTAGAGCTGCAAAGCTGAGACGCATGCTGGGCCTGTGGCACTAGGCTGAGTCTTTGCTCTGACCGGCAGCTTCGCTGGTGTTCGTTACAGGGGCAACACTTCATTCCTGGAAAACGGCTGTTTAGGGGTAAGACTCCTCCAGATGCTGGTGCTAAACAAAATACGTGCAGGACTGCCACCGCCCAAGCAGTTCCCCGGAGACTTTAATCTTTTCTGTTGCTGGAGCCGCTGAGCTCGGTGCCTGTTCTCACCTTGGCGGTGCCTCCGGGCCGAGGGCAGCTGCCTCAGCAGGCAGTGCTGCTGGCGGGACGGGCGCTCTTCCCCCTCCTTCCCCGTGTTAGTGGGCCCAGATTTTTCCAGGATCGGGGATGGTAGCTCTCGCAAGGAGAGCTCAAGGTTCTCCTTTCAAGCCAGGAGCTTTCAAGTTCAAGCTGAATGCTTGCTAGCCATTATTTAACTTGGACTAATTGCAGCCACCTCAGGCTAATTTGGCCTTACGAGACAGACCAGAACTCACAATCAGGTTCTGCTCAGGCGCAAGCCTTGCTACATACATAAAACATTTTATTTCTTGAAGGAGCTGTGACTTGTACTGTGAACCTGGGTCCAGCTTCAGGTGCTGCCCTTGCAGGCTGGAGCTGGATACTGGTGAAGCCTGGTCCTAGGCAGCAGTTGCTAGCCTGAAGAGGTTCAGCAACCAGAAGGACACTAAGCTATAAATCCAAATTAGCATCTGCTGATTAGCTGGGTTGCCAGGGCAAGTGTATTTTTGCTAGAATAATATTTAGAAATAGTAGGATAGCGTTGCTTAATTCTACAAAAAAGCTGGCTGTGGCTGTCGGCCCTCCCCGCTGCGATTTTGGACAGGAGGGAACGGCTCTGCGTTAGTTGGAAGCTCCACTGAGTTTATTTTGGAGTCCAAGCTGAACCGGGCTTCTGCCTGAAGCAGGGGCCAACTCCTACCCCCCTCCCCTGTTAAATCAGACCCGACTTTGTAAATTTTCCAAAGCAGGGAAGTGGCAGAAGGCTCTGGCTGCTGACTCGGGACGGGGCCTTGCTAGCGGCTGGCTGCCCAGTAGGACTAAGCGTGGAAAGGAGTTAAGATTTACTAACTGTGAGCGTATGTTTGTCCTTGATTATTTCTACTCCAGGACAGTTGCAAATGAAGATAACGCTGCTCAGAGTCATTGTATCACTAAGCTAGAAAAACAAAACCAGCCTAATCGGGCTGGAATCAAAGAGTGGATTATCCTGGCACAGAGCTGAAACTTTCAAAGGAGTTAAGCAGGAGAATGAGTAATTCCACTGTCAATGTACTGGATATTCTGCACATTCTATTTCAGCCTTTTGTTGGTTTAGATGCAATTCCTAGGGTGATCCACCATCCACATCTCTAATATAAAGGGCTGCTGGACCTCTGCGGTTCCTCCTCAGCGGTGCCAGCTCACCAGGTATTTTGTAAACAGTTAAGATTTATTATACAAAACACAATTTCAGGTTAACACAGCTGCAGCGTTTTAAATATTTACAACCACCACTGGTTTCCTGGAGTAGCTCGCGCAGCAGCCTGTCGGTGTAAGCGGGTAACTGATGGGAACAGCCGTTAAGGAGCGAGTACTGACCGTGCAAGAAGCGGCGGCGCTTGTCAGAGCCAGCCCCTGCCTGGCGGAGCTCGGCCTTAGTGTGCCAACATGTCCTTAAGGCAACAGCCAGTCTGCGCGTCCTTCAGAAGCGCGTTCGCCACGTCGTAGAACTTGTTATCGTAAGCCAGGCGGTAGTACGTGTAGATGTCTTCACAGTAAGTGAGCAATTTCTTCAGATTTTTCAGAGCAGCATCAGTGGGTGGGTGGTGCTTGGCTCTGAAAAATAATTGTATGTTTAAGCGAAAGAGAAAGGCTTCGCAGGACAACAATTCTAAGACTATGCTGCATTAGAACTGCAAGAACTCAAAAGGGGTTGTGCTCGACATGTACATTTGATTCTCTTGGTTATTTTGCTCTGATTCATTCTCAAGGAGATTTGATCTGACCAGCCCTAAGGCACCCTATTTAGCCAGCTCAAGAAAGAGGGTGGCTCCAGGGCTATTTCCACAATATGCTTAAGAAACTGAACACAGGCCTCGAGTCCCTACAGACTACACTTTAGCACATAAAAGGTTTTAACAGTACTAAAACGTGCATGCTGTTAAACACACAGTTGCTCTTCTAAAGTAGCCTGTGGAAAAGAAAGTTCCAAGCTGACCACGGAACTACTAACTTCTTAGAGATCTCCTCAAAGATGCCAGGCCTCAGTGGTCTTTGTTGTTTAAATTCTTCTAAGTAAGTGAAGTCTCCCTTGGTGATCACTTGTTGATACAGAACTTCAGCCCAATCTGGAACAAACTCGTAAGCCTCAGCCACAATAGCTGCCTGCAGAGAGAAGAGATGCTGGAATTACTGAGCAGAGGTTTTATTTTTGCACAGAAACATTCCTATGCTTGAGTACTTAAAATATTCTAGGTCTTCTGTTTGGCCAATCTCGATGCTGTTCTTGAGAGCGGCTGCGTGACAGAAAATACAAAGGTAACAAAACACTGCAAATAATTCCCCTTAACCCCTCGGCAAGGTGTCAGAGCATGGTCATTTGTTCCCTCTAAAAAGCCCTTCTCTTGCTTCCAAAATGACGGGTGCCAAGGGGGATGAAGATGCAAGGGCTCCAGCGTCGGTCCAGAGCAGCAGGAGAGCCCCGGGCAGCCCAGGCCCTGGCTCTACGACGGCAGCGAGGGCTGCCAGGAGGCTCAGCCCCCGCCAGCGCTGCGCTGACCTGTCCCAGCACGTGCTGCAGCGCTGGGACCCGACCTGGCGGCCGCGAGGAGCGCTCAGCCTCCCGCTCACAGGAGCGGGGTGCTTCTGTCTGCTGCTTCGAACAATCCCGGTCAGGGAAAAAAAAAAAAAAAAAATCGCGGGTGAGGAAGCCAAGTTTACCTGATAGAATCTAGGCAAGGACAGGAGGGCGTCCATCAGGTTCTGTCTGTTCAGGTTGATCAGCATGGTGCTCTGCCCAGTGTTGAGGAAATGCAGCTGGAGCGTTATCAGCTTTGTTAGCCGGCTGCAGCGCAAGGACTGGCGCACACAGGAGTCCTAGTCAATACACCAAAGACAAATGCAAGCTTCTGGAGTGTGCTTCTAGGGGAGAGGAGTCAATATTCCTGAGAGCAACGAGTTCAGAGCTTTCTGGTATTTCACCTTCTAGATCACCGCAGTTTTAACGCTGATCACATTCCATTAGTTTTGAACGAAGCTTCACTAACCACAAACGCGAGTTTCAGCAGCAGCATGCCGGTGCTGAAGCACCTCCTCTCGTTCTGCTCTTGCTAGTTAAGCTCACGGTCGCTCCCCTGAAGCCGGGGAACCCAATTCTGTCGAAGCCTGAGCAGGGACCAGCGCGCTGCTCTTGGCTACAGCCGCGCCACAGGCCGCTGGCACGCGGCCGAGCTGACAGAGCAAGAGATTCCTCTGCTCCTTTCCAGCGGGGGCAGGATTCTGCACACCCTCCCGAGAGCAGCTCGCCCCTTATCCGCTTCCAACGCTGTACAGAGGTCACACAATTCCACCTCACTTTACCTTAGAATAACTTTCTGCTGCATCAGTAAAGAGAGTCAGAGCTTTCACCAGCAGCTTCTTTAAATTTGCAACATCCTGAAGAGACTCCTCTGAAATGGAGAAAAAAAAAGAATAACCAATTACTTCTAAAGGTGACAAAGGAAGTTACAAACATACCTCCGGGTACCAAGTCTGTCCATAGTGGTGTTTCAGAAAGCAACAAAAGACTTAAATTTTTATTCAACAAGGACAAAGCAACAGTGACGTCTGTTCAGTTAAGGGACCAGAGCCACTGCTGGAACCCAGTCAAGTGGCTGAAGAACTGAAAAGAAATCCAAGTCAGACATACGTGGCAGACACAAGCACTGACTGGCCAGGTGAAGTCAGACAACCCGCTGGCGGCGCTGCCGTTTCGGCCGCCGTGAGGGTACTGGCTAACGGCCCCGCGGGGGCTCTCCCCGTGCTCCCCGGCACCCCCAGCCGCGCAGAACCCACTCCCTTCAAACGCTAACAAGTTCTCTCGCACACGGGTAAAGGCCCCAACACTTCAGACATACACTCTCTATAACATAGCCCATTGAAGTGAGGAGAACACGCCCGTGTCCCTTCCTCCCCCCCGTGCACGGTACCACAGGAACCTAAGAGGCAAAAATCTCAACTCTCCGCAAAATCCCAGAGCAGCCAGAGAAGCCGTGAAGCAGAAGGTGAACAGGACCCCCCTTCCAGACAGTGGCAGTTTAGCGGATGTCACCAGGACAACAAAGGCAATCCAAACTACCCTGACCCGTCACGTCTTCCTCCTTAAGCAAACCTTCTGGGTTTAGCAGTTGCCACTCACCCCAGGGCTGAGATTCAATGAGTTTAAGCTGTATGCAAGCAGCAGCCTCGTGGTTCTCCCCAATCTCTCGGCACATGCTGAAGCAGAGGGCTATCATGTTGTGCTTCTCGCTGTCCCCCGGGCGACAACGCTTGATGTAATCCAGCAGAGCCGTCTTCAGCGTCCCGCTCTGGTCAGACGAAGGAGTATTAGATTAAAATTTGGAGAGCCTTTTGTAAATTCGCATTTTGGTACCCACAAGCAAGCAAATCTGTTGTGGTACAATTTTCCAAAAAGCGATCGTTGCGTTCTTTGAGGTTTCTCTAAACTATCTGAAAACATAATGGCAATATTATACTTGGGCTGAACTACATTACATCAGGTAAGAAAATCCAGTACCATTTATTTATTTACATAAAAATATCAAAACTGACATTTGCTTATGACTTTATGTTGCAAGAAAGCTGTAACTATTTATGATTTTTGAAAAGCCATGGAACTTCAGCTGGAAGTAAAACTAAAGCAGGACATGAAAACTCTAAGTGACAATCCCGAGCTCGAAGTTTCAACACTGCTCTCATCGCAGCACTGAACTAACTAGAACAAACTGAGTAAACTAAAGAAGAATCAAGCACAGAATTAATTTATTACTATGAAACTTGACTAGCGCTTCCCACACTCCAGTAATTAAAATCCCCAGATAATTCCACCTTGTGTAAGGATCAGCTTCGGACGTAGCCACACAGCCCTCTGAAAGTTTTCTCCCCTTTATCCCCCTCCACCTACCGGGTCTAATTTCTTTCTCATGAGCACTTCAAAGTAGTGTTTCTCGTGCAGCAGTTCGAATATGTAGGTCATTTCATTGTATCTGCCAATTCCAGTGAGAAGTCGAACCTGTGGAAATAACAGCGTAAGTGGGAAGCTCCAAGTGAAGCAGCAAATTCCGCTGCCCTGCAGCAGCCAGTGCCGGGGCGGGGAGAAGGCTGCGCCAGCCGACAGCCGCGCGGCGCCGCAGTAGCTCCCTTCGAGCACGCAGCTTTTCGCTTTTAAACCAACCTACTGCAACTTTTTTTTTTTTTGTTTTGTTTACTGTGAGGTGAAAGGACATGACTTTACCAAACCAAAAGACGCGGCGAACCCTTTTAGCGACGCCACCGTCGGTCTGGGCACGTCCCAGGCTCCAGGCCCGAGCGCCCTGTGCCACTCCGGCGCTGCAGATCCTCACATTTCACCAGGAGCTGCGTTCCTCCGACGCTCCCGCTCCGATCTACTACACGGTGGCCACCTCACCACTGCACTACCTCTCCCCCCCCCATCCTTCCACATCAGACCCACCTTCAGCTCCAGGGGCCGCCAGGGCAAGACCAGCCACCCCCCCCGCCCGTTATTTGCCAAGGCGCAGGGGGAACCCTTCGTACGGCGTCACGGACACCTACCACGAGCCCGTACTCTTCATTAGGTGCCAAATGTTCATCGGTGAGAAGCCGTGCTGCTTGGAGCACTCTAGTGATGCCTTCCATGTGGCAAGTCAAACTAAAGCAGTTATGGGCCAAAATCAGCAATTCTGTAACTGAAGAAGAGAAGAACTGGGGTTATTTCAGTTAATAAGCTGAGGAAGTTAGTTATTATGCCTCTCCCCAGAAGCAGCGCCACCTCTGCAGAGGGTGCAGAACCCTTCCAGTCCCAAAGAGCAGAGCTGGATTAGAAAGCTGCGCTCCTACAGTTCTGTCCTGTGCCATTTTAAGAAGTGACAGTTGCTGTAACAGTATGCATTCAGTCTGGCTTCTCAGTCTGTGGGAAAGTCTGGCTTTTCTGGATCATCTTCTGAGACGTTATTTTATTCCACACACAAAACTTCCAACCTCCTCCTCCAAAAGCTGATTGACAAACATATATAATAGTGCATCAGCACTCCGCTATCACCAGTCAGCTCTGCATTGGAAAAAGGAAGGCCACGAGTTTTGCACCTGGGTTGGAAAAATCATTCATAAATCCCACACTAAATAAACGAGTTAGAACAGCACATCTTAGCAGATTCCATTTTCCACGGAAGGCCTGGTCAATACTGTAAAGCCATCATGACACAGCGGGGTCCCAGACCTTACTCTCAGCACCACGCCCTTCACTTCAGAAAGGCAGTAGTGTTATATGAACCAGTACACAACATACTGCAAAATGCAGATTTTTAAAAGAACACAGTTAACGTCATAGACCTTTACAATCTATTTTGAAACAAACCTGTAAAAAGCTCCTCTAGCAGAGACTCCATTCAAAGAGAGGTAGAGTCCTCCTGCACAATTTGGCAATTCCCAATATTGTTTCCTCAGACTTTCCCTTACTTTAGTCAGCCTTACATGAAAATACTAATACTCACCCTTATATTACTTAACCAGACGAAACAAGGGGTAAGTTAAGATCTGACAACAGGACCATTGTGTTTGGGACATAAAGATTACATGGAACATGATGTTTCTAATTACTTTTTTTCTCACAAAAGTTCTCAAATTTCCAATATTATAGCTGGATTCTAACAGAACAGTTTCAATATCAACTTCAGCCAGGCTTTTGCTGCTGCAAGACATCTTCTAGAAGATGCTCGTTTCTCACCACTCTGGACAAAACAGCGCTGGAAGTTCTGCCCATGCTAATACCCATGAGACAACTCACACTAAATTCTTACTCTCATTCGTTTTCCTCAGAGATGACCTGCCCATAATAAATCTTTTTAAAAAACAGTCTAAACTAGCAGTGTGCTGATTAGCGGTGGCAAAAGAGCACCAAAGTACCCTGGCTACGTTTTATAAGCTCAGTGACAACATCTCCATGGTACACAAAGCTGCAAAGTGTAGAATGGACATTAGTAACAGAAGACCTCAATAGTTTAACAAATGGATAAAGAAATAAATTTCTAATTGTGATTAATACGAAGAAAGTCACAACACCCTCTTTCTGTAACATACAACTACAAAAGTTCAGGTAACTCACTGACTGCATTTCCCAGCTGCTGGCACAAAAAACAAAACATCTGTATTTTGTTTGGAAAGTAAACCGATGCAACACTTAAGCAACATGTTTATTTACTGTATATCTACTCAGATCTATTAATTTAATATCAAATTTGAGATCGGTTAAGAGATGCTTCCACCACCATTGCTTTTACTCTTTGTGATGTGCTGTTGAGCCAAGTAATGCCATGCCCAGTAATGCCCTAGTTATATTAACTATTATTTGCCATTTACTTACTGCATGACAGCTCCCCACGTGGTACAGAGGAAATTTTATCCAATAACTTCGTGCCAACCAGTGTATGATCCTGGCAGAGCTTAGCGAGCTGTAGGAATGCCTGGCTCTCAGCTGCAGCATTCAAAACCTGTTTCTGTCCTGTGTCCGCAGAGAGAGAGAGTTAGGTCACAAGTGCGAATTGTTCAAGGGAGATTAGCTATGTTAATAGAAAAAACCCCAAACAAACCACCCTAACTTCATCCAGACTGATTTAGGACTTGGACCTACAATTCTAAAGACACTTTTGGTCTTACTTCTTAAATTTAAGAATCAGATACTATTTCTTTGCCAGTTCAATCCAATGAGATCCTACTGAACAACTGTACTGATATTGTAATTACACCTGTAATTTCACAAATCCAGTAGGCTGCTGCTGACAAAAAAAGAACATTTTCCTCTTCCATACACAGCACAGTTCCAACCCATCCCCTGCAGTGGCTCTGATTTGTATTCTTCCACAAACCAGTTCAACTCATGAACTCAGCAGAAAACTCTCCTGTTCTGGATTTGCCTCCTGCTAGGTTAGTAAGCTGCCCCTTCCGAAGGAGCAGCACCAAATCACCTGGGCTAACCAAGCCAACTGGTACCAGGGGAGCAGTGAGAGCCAGGGCTGGCAGAGCAGGAGCAGAGGAGAGCACAGCTGGACTGATGAATCCCTGCCCGGTGGATCACTGTTTCTCAGAGAACTTTGTCATTAATGTTGCAGCAAAGGAGAAGTGACTCAAAATAGAAAAGACCCCCAGATAAATTCCTGCTGTTTTGAGGAACATCCCCCGTTTCACAAAGTGAAAAAAAAAAAAAAAAAAAAAAAAGGAAATCTTTTGGCCATGCTTTACACAAAGAAATGAACACGAGTATTTCTAAGTCAGATGCTGCGGGGCTGCAAAGATCATGACTAAAAAACCCAAACAACCCTTTTTTAAAAAAACATTAAATTTACATCCCTAAAAAAAGAAAACCTTAACTACTGCAACCCCACACTGGACACAAAAATAACTAAATAATTTGTATAAAACCTTACATAAGGTATATAAGGTTTACAAACCTTATCCAAGAGCTGCCCAAACATTACTGACTCGAATTACCACTCAAATATCTGGAGAGCAAGGACTGTTTTTCCGATACGCAAACACCACACTTCCAAACCACACCCACTAAAACACAAGATCGAGCCTCTTTACTACCCTTCCCTTCTGAAGACACCAGTAACTCCTGCGTGATTTCTTCAGCCACCAGCTCTGCCACGGTTGCAGGCTGGAGGCCCTGCGTGGTGATGAACGCCTGAGCCTTCCTGCATCTGTCCGCCTGACGGGATGACAGAATTGCTCGAATCACTTTTTCAGGGTCGTGGGCTGACATTTCACTGTAGGAGCAGTTCAGTTCCTAAGAAACACACATACACTTAGAAGATTCTACACAGCAAAAGTTCCAGTCCAGAACATCTACTGACATGCAGTACATCTTCTTAATGATGAGCTGATGCAAGAGGGGAGTGCTGGAGGAGAAGACAAAACTCAGTTTCAAAAAATGCGAACATAATCTGTCCTTCTGTCAGTTAACAGTGCCTTCATCCGCACACCAGTATTAACGTTCTCCAGATCAGGATGGTATGTAAGTACTTTGCACTGGAAGTTTAATACTCACAGAGCTGTCACTATGGACAGAGATGCTTTCCTTAATCAAATATAAATCTGAACACTTAAAATACCTAGAAGAGAGACAGGAATATTCCCTCCCAAATGAAGAACTGTGTTTTACTGCCTAAGTTTTACTTAAGAGCTTCGTTTTCCTCTGCTCTACATACCACAAACTCTCAATGAAAAAGATATACTAGCTCTCACATGTGCTACATTTGGAAAAGGAGTTGGTGGGGCTCTGTAAATACTCTGCTGTTAACATATTACAACTTTACAAATTAATCAAAGGATGTACCTCATAAATGATCAACTCTTAATTCAAAAGTATGGACATCCAGCTTCAGGCAAGAAGGATACGGATGGTATAAAAGCCAGTCATAGGACTACTTCTTAGTAGCTCAAACTTAAAGCACTCACTCTGAATATTTGAGGCACGAAAAATTCTGTAGGAAAATCTAAGAACCTCTGTGATGAAGATGATACTAACATTTTCAGCACGTTGCTGTTTTTATTCAGAAAAAGCTAATGCTATGTTCCAAAAATACAGACCAAATACCCCGAAAGGAGTGTTCAGCAGCACTCTCTGGAGAAGAGGCAGAGGTGGGCTGCTGGCAATCATACAGGTCAGGGAGCAGAGAGGCAGCAAACAACAATCAGCTACATCTCCCATCACTGGGTCAAACCACTTGGAACCTATTAGCTGCTCCTCCGAGCAGCTTCTGGGCAAAGAGCTGCCACTGTGTGGAGTCTGCAGAGCACTTCTGTGCTAAAACTTTTAAAGCAGCTGCTATCTCTGTGTCTGCTTCTGGGTCGGTGTTGATTATGAAGGCATCCCACAACAAAGGCCTAAAGCAAAGTGCTAGATGAACAACATATGCTTGAAAGATTATAAAAAAAGCACATCAAAGAGCCACAGGCTGAAATCTGGCTTAGTGGAGTCAGGGGTAGGGGCCTGGGGAGTCTGGGAGCTGAGTTCATTTCAGCACTTCATGCCTAGGAAGCATCTGGCCATTCCTCCACACAAAGGCTTGGTGATTTCGCCCTCTGAAGCTTGTTTCAGGCACCTGATGAGTACTTTCACCACTCCTTATCCTTTCCTCCACACGCTTCCACAGCACTGCTTGATACAAACCATTTGTTTCTTCCATAACGTTATCAGACACATACCTTAGAAAGCTCATACAAACAGAGAACCTGTCTGCAGTAGTTTCTCCCATGGACACATTCATCTATGAGAGCCTTCAGACTGCTAACAACCTGATCATCTAGCGACGGAGCCACAATGTGTGTCCAGTCTTCCACGCTTGATGCTGGAAATAAAAATACTATAAATTCCTTTCTCATAAAGACAGGTAACACCAGCAAGCCTTCTATTTGGAGCAAGACTCCAGGAATCTATAGCAAATACATACTACTTTCTCAGTCTTTGAAAACTGAACTCTTGATACCTGTGATTTTTTTCTTAAGTTTTAGGGTGCAAACAGTATGACAGAACACAAAGGAGCCAAAATATCCCCAATAAATATCTCGGATGTAGAATTCTTGAGCAGAAGAGAGCACGAAGGTTCAGCAGTCTTTTCGATGGCGTAGGCTTCATTTATTCTCTTCTATTTCTATTAAGCTTTATACATGTTAGTATTAGAAAGTAATGTTCCAGTTGACAGCTTTCTCACTCAGACTTCATAAATATGCAGAGAGTACTGTATATAGAAACGTTATCAGCCTTAGCCTTGCTATTAATAAGAAACATGAAACCCTTTATACCGTACAAAGAATTCACTGAAATATATTAATTAAAACATTTCCTTGTTTGTACTCCAGGAACACACTCAAGATTTACTGGAGTGTGTATTCCAAAAGCAGGAACATAGGCGAAGTTCAGTGCTACTTTACAGGAACAGAATTGTGTGAACTATCAAAAATGAACTGATAAGAGACTACAGAAACTGTATGCAGATCACCCCGCCTGAAGCACACACAAGCAACGTGTATCAGAAGGCTTCAAACTCCTTGTGCTAGAGGATTTATGAGCCAAGGAGATAACCCACTGTCATGAAAACCTTTACTGCAGAGATTTTGGGGGAAATTAACACTGTAACAAAGGAGGAAAAATCCAGTGGAAGCCCAGCAATGGCGCTACGTGTCAAGTGGCTGAACTGGTTGTGCTACTTACTGCTCGGGACTCTGCTTTGCTGAGATGCGCTGCTTTCAGAGGTCTTCTCTCCTGCCACAAGGAGAGTCTGAATATCCGCGGGTAATTTGTCTAGCTCAGTCTCCCCCGAGGCCAGAGCTCTGCAATGCAATACCAGTGAAACATCTCTGTTGTAGAAATGGAAATACTGACAAACACGGCCGGCTTCATGCACACTTCCTTCATCAAGAAGGCATCCGATCAGGAACCTGAGCGATTCCTCCTCTTCGCTGGTCAAGGTCTGTTGAGACTCTCTGAATGCAAGACCCTCTAGTTTTAAATACTTTGGTGTGTTCAGAGCAGGTAGCTTTGAAAAAGAAAACTCCTTAGCCAGGTTATCAAAGGTAAGATCCCTGTTCACTACAGCATGGGAGGAAAATCTCGACTTGCCTGACCCCTCATCTGCAGATAACGTTCGTTGTGTGATGCGACAAATCCAGATCTGCTTCTCTATTTCTTCTAATTCGGGCAGTGACACCGAGTCATCCTTGGCTAGCCAGTGGCCAGCTAGGGTAAGCAACAAATGTCTCTCCATAACGCTGTTTATCTTCTCATGAGCTAAAGATTCAAATACTGTGTTTGCCTGATCAAAAAAAAAATCAGACGCAGCTTTGCTGGAGATTGAATTTTTCAAGAAGTTGTCATTACATTTTTTCCAGAATTCAGTTCTTGTCTGGATTTGTTGCCACTGTCCAGTGTCTCTTAAACAGTGTAGATCTCTCAGAACCTGCAAAATTCAAAGAGGTTTTAAACAACCATCTTTCCAAAAAAGAAAAATCACACTGGATGGCCAGCACACTGAAAAACTGAATTTAGATTAAGCGTCTCAATTTGCAACAAATCCACCTATGTTTCTCACCAAATAAAACTGACTGCATAGCAAGCAAAAATAATAAGAGAATAAGAAAAATCTATACCGTGCTTTTCAGCTCAGCACTTACAGCCAACATGTTTGGTGTACTTGCATTTAAAATAAAAAGTAATTTGAAGAAAAATGTGTGTTTCGGGAAGGCTGGGGAGTAACATTCTCAATCCTGCCAGTAATAGGAGTATTAAGAGGTGAGTACCGTTATCTAACTGTACCGTACCTCTCGCGTCACTACATTGTCCACAGGCAATTCAGCTAGTGCTGCGACCTCCCGGGCCAGTGAGAACATTCCTTTCTCTTGTAGCTGCTCCAGAATGGATCTGCACTCGCTCTGAAATGTCTCCATAGTGTAACTGGTTAGGATGGAGCGATTAATTGATATGGAGGAATCCTTCAGAGTCTCACTGAGCGCACAGAGTTTCTTCACGTAAGGACCTATTTTAAAAGAGTGCAAATAACTGAAGGCAGATGGTTTTTAAACCTGAGGAAATTCTGCTGCTTATTTCAGCATGCAAACCTGCCAGAAGAGCACAGATTTTACACTCTAAAGCTTTTATGGGGCTGAAAATAAGCTCTAAATCCGTAGATAAAATACTTCTGCAGATAATCTGTGCACTCCTCATCAACACTTGAACATAATCGTTCTCCCAAACAGACTTACACACAGTTACATTTTCACCACTGCAACTCACCATAAGGACCAGGTCTGGTTATATAAATTCTTATACAGAAATAAAGCAGTATGATTACACTTAAAGTAAGTATTTTCAGTCACCCCCAAAACACTGTATGTGGTTTTTAGATTAAAGCAGTAATATCATCTAACAGAGGAAGCTGTATTTACCATCGAGTAGAAGATTCTCTGCTGCAGCATACAGCTGTAAGAGCTTTCCTAATTCATACTCCGTTCTACACTGCTGCATCATCAATTCAAGAAGAAACAGTGCTTGTGATTCCAACCACTGCACAGGTAATTCTGAAGCTGCTGGTTCATCTTCAGTTTTAAGCTGTGTAGATAAAGATTTTTAAGTGTTAGGGTTTTTTTTGCAAATACATTCTGCATTTTAGTGGGAATCGCACTGGAAATGGAAGGTGTACCAGAACCACCTCCATCTTTACAAAACAATCAACTGCCATTCCCAGGGGATCCAAGCACTGATCCATTACTGATGTATGTCTGACCTGGATCTGAGAGTAGTGAACTTCATGGCAGGGTGACCACCAATTACTCCTGATAATCACAGAGGAGAGAAAAGATGCAAGAAAGATCGGAAATGGATAAACTGCTAGACGAATAGCTCCTGGCATTATAAACATACCCGCTACGTGCATGGTGCACAGGGAAAGGAAGCTGATCTAGCCTTAGCTTGAATTGCAGGAAGGAAAACCGCTAATGACATGGAACGTTAGTTACCAAGATCTTCAGGGAACTAGAAAATGGTGATGGAAAGGAAAGAACCCAAATAATTTGTGAAAACATCTGTTTGTGACCAAGAAGGAATGCTGCATGAGAACACTTTGGTCCTCTTCAAACCAACTGCTAAGTCAGTGTTTTAATCAAAACACGTAATTCAGTCCACTGAGTCATCTTCAAAGACAAGTCTACGCAACTACTAAAACTAAAGCAATACCACAAACTTTTTCAGAAACCTTGAAACATATTCAAAAAAGTTGTCTTTCTTACATAGATATTACCTGTAAGTCACTGGCTTATGAGCTCAGTATTGACTTGCTCTGGTCAATATAGAGAATATCCAACACTTACTCTCCCCAAATAATTCAATTTACCAACAGTGGCCTTCCTTGAGTCAGTGCCAACCTTCAAACAGTAAACTGCTCGTGCAAGGAGGATGACATTGTATTTCAATCTGCCCATATCAACTTAAACCAAAATGATTTAGAAAAACGCAATGCGGGTTTTGAATTGTCAAAAACATTCTTCCATTGACTGACAGCAATAAAAAGAATCTGCTGAAACCTACTGCTTCACAAGTCGGCTCCTCAATAATTCTAAGCACATCCTTTTTCATTATTTTCATATATGACATCAGATGCCTGCTACGTTCTAAGAAGGGAAGAACTAGGCAATCACATTTAGAGAAAATGAATTTGCTTACTTTTGTGAGACTTTCCTGAAATTCGTCCAGTTTGGTTTTAGCTTCACTGTATTTTTTACAGTTCATGCATAGTTCATACATCTCCAGTATATACAGTAAAGGGGAATCCTTTAAGACACAAAAATAGGTTATAATTCTTTCCTAAAAGTACCTTGATAAATGTAGAATTTGTCTTCCTCAGTACCAGAATAAAGTTCTAATTTATTAAAATTACATGCAAGGTTAATATATGACCTGCAAATCTGTAATAATTGGAAGAACTTCCTTTCCAACATTTTCATACTTGACTGGGATTTTCAGTGGATTACACCGGGTTATCTAGGTCACAATAGCAAGACAGAGGGGGAATGTGTAGGCCATCTCCTCTCCAAGATGATTTGAGATACGCTCAAGTATACCACTAAAAAGACATTTCCTTACCTTTAAGAAGAGCTGGAAGCCGTTTAGAAGTGTTTTACTTTTTTGCTTTCTTAAAAAGACTTTCCAGATAACTGATAGGTCATGAAGATCCCATTTGTGGTTTTCTGCTGAGCTCTGAATGTGGCTTGTTGCTTCAGCTCTGGTAGCATCATCCCCAGTAGTAATTATCCAAACACAGAGACAATGAATAATGTTTGCATCCTGCCAAATGACAAAAACGATGGCTTTATAATAACCAAACATCACCTCATTATCTATCACTTGGCAAAACATGTCATACTATTCACAATTGCTACAAAAACTGAGAAAAACCCCTACATATCTGCCATTTAACATAATTAAGCACAACCATCACTTTTTTATTACTTATTCCTCTAAAAGATAAATAACTTCAGCAATACTCACCTGGAAGCACGCTGCTAAAACACTCAGAATGGGAGCGTGCTCTCTCAATCCTTCAGTCAAAAGGTAACACGAAGGGTTTGAGTGCCCCTGACACTGAAGAAGGATTTGGAAGAGACTATCTGCATATTTGCTCTTAAACACACTGGCAGCACTGTTCCCAGGACTCCCTGCATCAGGACACAAACACGGCAACTTCTCCAATGCCAGCATCAAGTGATCTTGTAAAATGGGAGTGAAATCCTGAAGGATAGAAATGACCTAGGAAAACAGAACCAAAAGCATCTATACAGAGTGAGGTTTAAAGAGAATGACGGGGAAGAAGGACTGAAGCATTAAATGCACAGAGGAGACAAACAAAACATTCTTCAAATTTGATTTTTTAGAACATTTTTTGGAGATCTAGAGAGGAAAAAGTGTTCTATAGGTGTGAAATATTCTCATAAAATACTGATGCTCATCTTTTTACATGAAGGTAAAATGCCTCTTAGAGACACTCATTTTTGGCATTCTCTCTCATACTGCTAACAGCATGTCATGGAAAGTGACTAGTTAGTTGCTGTTGTGTAATTACATATCTTTTTCTTTTAAAGACAACAACAAAGAAATCCAGCTTAAAAGCCTAGGCCTGCTAAGTATCATCTTACCTGGAATTTTCCAGTTAGCTTCCTCACGTTACTTTTCCCAAATTGCTTTTAATTTTTACATATTGGTAGTATTTTATTAATTTTTAAATATTCAAAACAAAAAACTGGAGACAGATTCTCAAAAGCGTAAGTATCTTTACACAAAAATCAATGTAAGTTTTGAAAGGAAAGATGAGTGGCTTTATTACATCCAACATGTGTTAACTCTCCAGTGAAAAAAAATTATCTTGAAAAACAAATTACACTTAGAAACAGTCTGAGCATGTCACAATTTTAACTAAATTTAAAATGTAACTTAAGTCCCTTCGTGGCAAACACTTTAATGTCCACTTCACTTCAAAGTGACACTCAAGTCACTCCTCTCTGAAAACTGTTTTCTCCACTATTGATAAATAACATCACATAAGCTTTTTTCAAACAGGGAATTTTTTTCCTAATCTTCTCCTTTGATAGCTAGCTTTCGTGCTCTTAGAAGCATATTATTATATCTGCTCCTTCTGGAGTCAATTTCCTGTGTCTTGTATTAGCTTTGCACATACCAAGAGGGAAAGAAAAGTAGAAAAGTTGGCAAATCTGGCTGCAAGAGAAAGGCTATCATAATCAGAGGATACTGAGCATCCTGAGACAACTTCTAACTTCCTGGAAAGTAACGAGGCTTCAATTTTATGTTGTCTCCACAATGTGGTAAGTCTCTTGTTAAAAGGATCTATTATTTCCTTCCTTTTTTTGAACATCACAGACAAAGAACATTCCTGATAAACTCGTATCTTCATTTAAAATCAAACACAGATAGCTTACCTCATCTGGCTGGTAGCTGTACAGCTGGGTTTGGATGATGAACTGCAGCCAGTCGTTGGATCTGGCACATTCCTTTAGGTAAGATGTACTCAGTCTGATATCATGGAGTTTACAGAACTGCATTACCAAAGACCACTGCCTTCTAGAGTCACTAGATGTCCTGCATGGAATTTAAGAGCTTCAGCTGTAATAAACTGGTATTTATACCAGATGTCAACAAAGTATAAACTCATCATGCGGCCTGAGATCCACTGCCTGCAACACCAGCATTTCCACACCACACCTTGTCCTGTCTTGACAGTGTAGGCTTTGAAAAGAAGTCAACAATCTTCACTCCTAAGCGTGCTGCAAGAGCTCCGTGGAACCGTGAGTCTAACCTGTTGACTGCACCTCCTTCTTCTTGCCAGTAGACACCTACTGCCTCTATTATTTGAAATAGCAAGACTATATTCTAAGTTCAAATTTTGTTGCTCTGTTTACTGTGATAATAAACACAGACATCCCTTTATCTGAATACAAAAATGGCAAAAATCAGTGCTTAATCTCAACTTGCCAGTATAGTCCTTTAAATCATGTTTTACTCACTTCTTTATTCCTTGATGCTCAACTGCATCCCAAAAGGCTTCTTCTAAGGAGATAAGAAGTTCTGCTGCTGCTGCTTTTTCACCATCAGCCAATTTTGTTAACTTTTCAACTGTTTAAAAGAATGTATTACTGAGATGCTGTTTAGGATTAGAGTATGGGTAATATTTTCAAAAGTACCAGAATCAACAAGCAGAACAAATCCTACGAATGTAAATGTTTCAGTAACTATGCCAAGTCTGGCACCAAAGTGGCTACATGATTTTTGAAAAAGAATTTCAACATTCAAATCACATAACCATTTTTTTTTTCCAAATAAGGTCTACCTGTAGTTTGAAGTGACATATATATTTTTAGAATGATCAGTAAAATATAAATGAACTAGCTACCTAGTTGAGACAAAAAGACACCCGTGGACCTATAGTTAGAAATTCAACTTTCTGAAGTTATTCCTGGGATAAACTTAATTTCCTGAGAGCTTGGAACATCTGATTTCATTGCAGCTGTAAAATGGTTTTAAAGTGCAAAATAAAAAAGAGATTTGGTAATGTCCCTTTGTTTAATCCACTAGCTAGCTTATTACAATAATAGGTTGAGTCTTACTAAATACTACACTGAGCCTTAGGCAGCTGTTCGACAGTGTCTGTTAAACACTCCTGCAATTCTGGCTGCATGTCACATTACAGTCTTCCCGTCTTATTTGGTATGCCAGGTTCAAAATGCACTTTCAAAATTAGGAAGAAGCAGGAATAAAAGATGAACAAAATTCTTAGCTCTTCAAAGGACAGGATGCTTTCACTGCATTCCTGAGAAGTTAAGACACCATCTCTCAATCCATCTCTGCTTCTCTTCCCAAGAAATAGATAGTACCTTATTTAAAAAAAAAAAAAAGACACCCTTACCCAAAGATTCTCTTATTTGATTGTGCTGAGATTCTTCCTTTCTAATTCTGTAACTGAAAATTATGTTTGCAACTTTAATATCGACCCTGAGTTTGAGGCTGTCGAGACCAAGCAATTCTAGAAAACACACACAGGCTGCTCCTACTGAAGGTACACTGAAGAAAGAAAGAGCTAAAATATAGGCTTCATTTCCTGCTTGTTGAATCCTGAAACAAAAAGAAAACCAGTTAACGTGATTTTTAACCAATTTTCAAACACAAATATTCCCCGTGTAAACAAGTACCTACACGGTTTACTGAACTCACAGACTTTAATAGCCTGAAAGACATTTACAAACCAGAAGTTTCATATTTATGAAAAAACAAATGTATGAGAATAAAGCCTGTGATAAGCACAGAGGTTGCAATTTAATAAACTTTAACAAAAACTAAAGCCAAGGCATTTGATTATATCATTAACAGAAAACACTTGTCAGCAATTTTAGTGCACTGACGTATGTTTTCTTCTTTGCCCACATCTTAGCTGTTTACAGGAGAGAAACTGATTTGTGTGGAAACAGTGAAAAGAAACAAATAGTGACTAATACACAAACAAGACATTCTAGAAACAAAGTAACTTGTTCTGATGTAACACCTACTAATTTTGAATATACTTAGTATTTTAATATATTCAATCAAGATGTCTAATTTGACATTTTTGAACACATCCTTTTGAAGCTCTAGCCAGCAAATTTAATGCCTTCAATCTCCAGTACATTATTCATCTTATTAATTTAACTAAAGAAGTGTCATCCTTAGGAAATGTCAAAGAAAAGGGGCATCTTTTTTCTACAAGGTGATCTAGAGTCTCAGGTCCCCAGAAGAAAAGCCTACCTGTGTTTGGCATGTCTGGAACATTTTTCATTCCTTGCTTTCATTGTGAGATTTTAGCTAGGTAATTCAAAATAAAGCTCACATTCTTTTAGGTGCTATTTGATTCCTATCCTGCTTGATGACAGACTGAGTAAATTCCGAGGACACCTAAAATTTCAAGTGATGCAATGCACACCTCTTGTTTGCTGATGGGGAGGATTAATGTTACTTCATGTGCTAGACTGTAACTTTAAAAGAACCATCCGACCATTATTTCCGAGAAGACTTACAACTGTTTGGGGGATTTGCTCTTTACTAACTGCTGGACCAAAAATGTACCAAAAGCAAATGACGGACGTCCATGGTGCAAATAATACAAAAAATCCAGTCGTTCCATTATAGCGTATTTGTTCACCAGTTCAGGGGATGAAAAATGGGGAAAGTCACTTGATGCATCTAGAAAGAATATCATCATTATTATGGGCTGGTAAACAGTGGAATTAAACATAGAAAATGGATTTCAGCAACAAATCATGAGCTGACAATCAATCAAATACTTCTCCTCTTGTTCTAATTCAACTTGTTCTAATTCAAAATTGTTCTAATTCAAAATTCAGCACAGCCAGGCCCCACCGAAATTCCAACTTTCATTGTAAAATCTGAACTCTCGATCACTTCTTAGGCCTTCAACTTGCTTTTGAAAGAAAATACTGCTTTTCTATCTCATAACATATTTAGGAAAAAAAATCTGTCTGTGAAGAGCTTAATGGAAAAAGGCAGCCTATCTAGGATTTAATTTCAAAACAAAATTTTAGTAAATTACACTATTTTTTTTGTAAAAGAAATGGCCTTTTCAGTAAGTTTACCTGTCAAATCATTCCACTGGAAGGTATTTTATCCTAGCTACTCAGGCTAGAAACGCATATAAAACTTGAAAAGTAACATACCTGATACAGCAAGAGTATTCGTTGACTGCCAGCCAAATAATTTAGTGGGATCAAAGGGCACTAATGACTGAAAGATTAGGAAAAAAATGTATTGAGATAGCTTAAGATTTTCACATTGGACCAGACTACTGAATATTTTAGGGAGCTATAGCAGCAGACAATCAGGAATGGCCTGTGCTATCAAGCAGTGATGTATCTTGCACAGTTCTCTCTCAAAGGTACATATTCATCTACTCCGTAGGACCAGAATGCAAACCTGTGCACGGACAGCCTTAGAATTGCTCTAAGGAAATAGGGAAAGGACAGAAGTATTTTGCTAAACTGTGATCTCAGTAAACACTTTCCTAATAATGAATTAATTCATAGCATTTCTTCCAACTTTCAGTTTATCTCATACCATAGACCTGAAGTAAAAGGCATTTGCCCAGAAATGTGTCCTGACATTCCATGAGACACAATCCTTTAATCATAAATTTCAGTTTCCCTTCGACAACACTTCCATTTTTGTAATACTAAACAGCCTGCCCACTGAACACTGAAAGAATATCACTTCTCTGCCATTCCAGGACTGCTGAAGTTAAGCACTGCAGATGTCTTTACATGTCTGGGGGAGCAGGGGGAAGCCAGACTCACAGTATTTAGATACCATTTAAAAAAAAAATGTTTAGAATTAAGCTATAAACTTTAGCTCCAACTTAAGGGTTCCAAGGCAACAACATACGGGCCCCACCCCCCAGGCTTCAGCTGAAAGCAAGCTTCTCTTAGTTTACTTTTGTTCTTCCAAAAAGCACTACCAAGAAGCATTTTGTGCACCTGAACAAGATGGTAAAGAGAGATGTCTGGTGGCAAAATTCCATGCGAAGTACACGGGGGAAAGAGAGCAGCCTTGAGCTTGGGGTAAGGAGTCAACGCCATTTTTAAGAGCTGTGGATCAACTTTCTTCAGAGGTTTTTCCGTATCTTCATTCTGAAGAACCTACATTGCAAGGAAGCAAAATTATTTCATTAAGAAGAAGGAACTGCATTGAGATAATGGTAAACCAGTCTTTGAATGCGCCAATGCCTCGGGGGAATTTGACATATGGTAACAACACAGAAAGTATCATTTTTTTCCTGTAGATTCCTAAGTTATATTAGACATATCTTCAACTGTACCTGATGTTTTAGGTTATTGTGCTATGTATCAAAAAAAATTCCGTTCCTTCATGTGGTACACCAAGCATTTTTCTTTTAAAAGTACAATCATTTATAACGTGCTTTTTGATCTCCATAGCACAATGCAACTGGTTAACACAATGCAACCAGTAAGCTGAGGTTTTTCATACATGTCCAGACTTTTAAAAATAAAAATCCAAGCAGAAGGGCAGTCCAGTTACTCATTGCTTCATTTACTTAAAACCCACAAATGACTACAGAACGGGGACAGTTGTCTAACAAATAGAGGCACACCATGTTAAAAGTTTATTGAAAACATTTTTCCAGACTAAAACTATCTGAGGAACACAAGTGCCTATAAACACTCTCAGCTGTAACTGTTAGGAAGGAGTAGCACACTCCAACTCAGAGCCACTGTGCCCTGCTGTTTCTAAACCACGTCACCCCAAACCCCTCTACGCGCTTCATTTGGTCAACTAACGCTGAAACACGGAACTCTGAAAAGAGATTTTCATCTGAGAAGAAACTGTATGATGGCATTAGTATATTTATTTTTATTAAAGTAATTCTTTGAGTTTTCAACACCACGTGAGACCTTCTCCAAAAGCTTATCAGTAATTTATTGCACACAGTACCTGATCAATACCTCCAGGTGCATACATTGTTGTAGCAAGTGCTAGTAGTGTACGTCCTTCCAGTAGCATGCTACTCACACTGGCTTGATTACTAGGAATCAAGATCTGAGCATTTGCTAGACTAGCCTGAAAAATCATCTTTGGATCTTAAAAGAAAAAAAGTGAGATTTAATTTCACGCAAAACCAATATGAAATCATTAAATCATGCACTGAAACTGTTCTATGCCTACGAAAAATTAATTTTCTATTTTTTCTTGTTAATAGTGATTTTTCTCAATTTACCTATAAATACAGGCAAGCTGTTCTAAATTTTACTAAGCTTTCCCTGATTCCATACCACAGCTTCACCTACGCAGATTTGGATCGAGTCCCACAGTTTAGCATTGTATTGGTTCAATTTTTTAACCTATACTGATTACACTTTTCAAAAAGCTTCAGTTGGGCTTATTTTTATCATTTGTTAGTGTGTAACTCTACAAAAGATGAAATGTTTTAAGAAGAAGTGAAATGAGTTAAGGGCACAAATTCTACTGATTTTCAATTATGATTATGAAAAAAAAAAGAGAAAACACATAATCCAGGGGGGAGAGAAGTCAAAATGGACCACAAGAACTAGAGGAAGCTTTAATTCTAATAGTATATGAATTTTCTTAGAAGTGCTCCCTCTGTTCAAGCTGTTGGAAATATAATCAAGTTGGAGGTAATGATGATCATACACAAAATACTTCTGACATATCTGTAGCCTCCAAATCTTTATGTACAGTGTAAATAAGAATTATAATCCACATTTTAGAGATAAGGAACTGATGCACATGTACGAGATTTGCAAGGGTCCAAAAAAAAGTTTGCAGCGGAGCAGAGAATTAAACCCAGCTGTGCCAAATACTCAGCTAGCAGAATGAACGTGGCACCACCTCTCGAGCGAGGCCAGGCTCCTACCTCGTGGATTACTGGCAACCCCTCGACACTGCACAAGGAATTCAAACCAGGGATGCGCTTCATGCAATTCCTTGTTATCCAAAATAGGGCAATTCGAAGGAGTTAAACTGTAAATAAGATGAGTAGCAGCACAGTGAAAATACCGTATTTGGAATCATCCTCTTCCCCAGTATAACACTGCATTAAAAATTAAGAGCATTTGACTTGGTGTTACAGTGACTTATTTCATCCATTCTTATGAAGGAGTCAGATCACATCACCCTTGTCCACAAGACATACAGCTTTAGCTGACAGGGCATTGCTGACAGTTCCCTTCTTAAAGATGATGTTTCTGTGCTTGCTTGCTTCCGTAAATCAAAGTAATAGTTCCACACCTGACAACCCCAAACACTTCCCAACGAAGAGACTTGATGCACATATACTATTCTGCATAGACTAAATATTTTATGTAAACTAAAACTGGTTATACAAACAAACGATTTATCGATTTTTTTTTCTGGCCCACTTTTACCTTATTAATAATTACACTGTTAGACTGGAGTGGAGAAATTTCATCTGCAAAGTATTGATTAAGTGGAAAGTATTCATATAGTTCCAATACCTAAAAATCTCAAGGTATCTCCTTCGAATCCCAAGTAATCCTAGCGTAGATGGAAACCAGCAATTTTTTTATTTGTGAATGTACCAAGAATTAACTCATACTTGTGCTCAAGTGAGAGAGTTTCTGAAGAAAAGTTGTCTTGGCTCATTTAAGACTGTATTGCTTATAGCATTATACTAATTACAAGTATAATTTGTTTCCTTTGTCCGTCATCATCTGATGACTGACACACAAATTAATATCGACAAGACAAGCTCAATAAAGCTTCAAAATACATCATGACACCTAACACACCATCCCACAGTTTTTCATTAAATGAGTGTTGTGATCCAAGTAGTCTTTCTCACCAAACAGGAAGGGTCAAGCAAAACTCTTACTGCCAACTGTTAAAACTGTGTTTCATTATTTAAATCTGCATGAGATTTAAGGGATGAAAAGTATCCATACCTGTAATAGTCTAAGTAAGTGTATAACAGATACTGCAAATTATGTTCTAAACAGTGAAGGACAAAACGAGCATGGAAGTCCAAACCGTTTGCAGCACTGTATTTTGGAACAGGGTGAGGATTTTGCAGTACTCCCCCAAGGTAAGACAGTCTTTGGAGCAGCAGTTCGAAATCTTCCAACTCAGAATGGACAAAAATTCCATTTCTATCAGAGAATAGAAGAGAAAAAGCACAAGCACTGATTAGACAGTTATCTTTTTACCAAGTTCTGAAGGGTGTTTTCAGTTTAAAATTATAAAGCAAACCTTCCTTTCTAGGGGACTACTTCACTATTGAGGCAAACACAACACGCCCAAATACATTCGATAGTGCTCAAACAATATCGTAGTTACTACAGTTCACTGCAGAGAATGAGGCATGAAGAGTGAAATGCTGTGTGCTTAGCATTTTCTCCCTTGCTTTAAAATGGGCATCAGGAATATATCACCATGAAAGATTGAAGGGCTGACAGAGGATTTCTATTGCTTTCATGTTTCTAACTATCTTCAGATAATAGGAAGTGCAAGGACAAGACTATAATTAAATTTATTAATGGATTTGTGCTGTTTCAAAAAAGGGTGCTAACTGCAATATAAAAATTAATACGTATCAAAGATTTTCTTAACATGTACTTCTATAACTATCTGATTTTTGGCTTCACATATGATAGAAAGTTAGTATAATGCATGAGGGGCACATACCTAGCCAGCTTGTTTAATATATCATTTCTCATATAGCTACTACATAACATGTTCCGGTCAATAATGTCTGGAGTAAGAGGGGGCCAGTTAGCTTGTCCACACAAAGTCTGGTTGGGCTCAAATTCTTCAATCCATGAACAAATATTAAGCCAATCATGCTGGGCTGTCAAGTGCATCCAAAGAACCTCAGGATTACACGTCTTGAGTTCTGCGTTTCAAAAAGGCAAAGTGATGAAACCAGCACAAACACACACTCCTTAGGGAAATACTGTCATTTCTTTATACATGTACATATTTTCAATGAACGGTTGCAAATATGATGCTGAGATTAAGTATAGTGTTACAGCTTCTTAGAGCTTTATGATGGAAAAGCTAAATGTAATACTACAGTGTAATAAGCTTTACAGACTGTAGCAGAGTACGACATTTACATCAAGTGGCCATGCATTAGACAAGTCCCTTTGAGCTAGTTCCAAACTTTTCTCTCCAGGAAAACCACAGCTCCCTGCGAGAACACAACAGGATGAAAACACATCATTTACCCATTTTCACCGACAAAGAGTAAGTGACCTACTGTGGCAGCACACAACTTCAGTTGTATCAGTGCCGCTCCTACACAACTGCAATATACTATATAAAGGACAGATTTTTAATTCACAATTTCATTTACATCCTCATTACCAGAATACTTGCCTTGGCGTGGTTTTCTGGGGAGAAGAACCATTTCCTGAGTAAGCTCATCCCACCACTGAGCCCAGTTAAACATCACCCTGACTCTCCTGTTGTGAGCCTGATGTCTATCACAATTCAGCAACGAGTCGAGAACAGCTGCGTGTCTGGAAAAGTCTTGTTCCTTTCTCCAGTTCTTGAAACTGCAATGGAGTATTGAATTAGGATGTTTTCTAGTTCTCTTTTAAAAAACAGTCCACAATGTAATAAATAGAAGATGATGAAAGGCTCAATAAATTTTGCTAGTCCATTCTGAAGAGAGTTCTGGAAGTGGTAAAGGGACTTACTTCAGCTAAAAGTCTGAGAGTGCACGTGAGAGCAATGAGCAAGGAATTATCTCATTTTTATGAAATTGACAGCAAGTGAAAAGTATTCTAACATTTTTACAATTACTTAACTGCAAAATTATTTTTCTAGGTTACTTAAGTTTGCTATATTATTAATATTATAATTCAAAAATAGAGCAAACATTCCACCTGAACGTGTTTCATTTGATTAATAAACGTAATAAGATAATTTGTTATTAAAAGTACTTCATTTATGGTGATGATGACATGAACAGAAGACCTCTGTTACACTGATGATAGTACGTCATGACTTAGTCTGGAAAGAACACGACAGCAATTGTTACATTAACGAGAAAAGTAATCAGTTCCCACACTGCCTCTTATTTCTGCAACTGAAGACCAGTGTGAAATTAATGAAATTACAGGAGACTATATTTGTTAGTGCAGCAAATCATATGGAATGTAGAAGCTATCATATTTTAAATCCTATTAACATTATAAATTAATAATTAAAACTGATAACCCACATTACCTGGAAAGAGATTGAATCTCTTTATTTTCTTGGAAGGATTCCGAGTAAAAGCTTTCAACCTGATGCACAAAGTCTATCATTTTCTTCTCTTTTTCAGAAAAATAATTTTCTTCTCGTAAAACTTTCACCTTTAATTCAAATTAAAGTATTACCTCCAATTACATTTTTTTACTCTACTTATAATACATTAAAGTTGTAAATGATCCTGCAAGCGTAAAGAGTTAACCAACTGTAGAAAAAATGATGGAAGCATTGAGGTCAATACACTTAAATTACAAAAGGGCCAGGACTTCATACTGTGTGCAAACAGATGAGAACTAGATCTGAGCCAGGACAAAGAAACGATATTTTAACCCATTTTTACTTTAACTGCAAATACAGAAGAACACAGGCGTGTCAGTGACATATTTCAGCAACTGCACTGCAAGGATGCAGGGACAAAACCTGTCTGTTCCCATTCTGAAAGCGTGTTCAATACAATGCTTTCTCTCAGCGTAAGTACACATCAGACTTCAGACCTGAAACATCTGTGAGACAAAAAAACTTTTCTACACTTACCAACAAATCTCGTACATGTTTATCAACTGTGTAGAAGCATATCTTATGCAGTTCCTCCTTCACATCAAAGCCCTAACGAAAAAGAGGTTACTCATTGTACGTAAACTGTACAAATGCAGCTGTACATTGACAGAATAAATGCACCAGCCTTCTTCCCAAAGCACACAACCTTTTACAAGCATGCTCGTGATATTCCCCAGATACTAGAGATGCCATAATAACCCACTGATCTGTGTGATGCTTCCAGCGTGTCTGGATAGAAAATGTGCACCCTCTAATACCTGACTTGCCAGAACCCCCTTTACACTTTGCTGATCATGACATCAGTCAATACACATTCATAAACAGGCTCCCTCAGCATTCTGAAGGCATTAGTGACCAAAGTAGCTCTTTAAAACAAGTTAATTTTCACTGTAATACATGTATGTGGTAGAATCAATACCTCCATATGACACCTACATGCTCCCCATACTCTCACCATTCATTTATTTCGTTAGTCATAAAGAAGTGTTAAGAGCTATCAGCATGCTTACTGAACACCTCTCACCATATTTCTTAAAAGTTCTGAGGCCTCTCCTGTATTGTCCTTCAGGAGACGGTCATAGACCAGACTCAAACCTGTCTGAATAAATTCTTGAAGACTTTGAGCAGGATGCTGATGCATTCGGAAGAAGGCCTGAGCCTCTGGCATTTTGTTGCTTAAGATGGCCTCAGCAATGACTTCCTAGAAGGGGGGAAAAAATTAAATCAACTGATGTCATTAATCTTCAGTGTTACTATCTTTATAATCCCTACATTGATTTTTTCCCCCCAATAGTTTAAAGACATTTCCATATTAATAATTTCCTTAAATATATTTAGTAAGAATAGTAAGAAAAGGGTTACTCATTTTTACCTCTGGTGTCAGTTTTTCCCACATGTGGCTTTCTTCTAATTCAGGCAGGTCTTCATCAAGATCACCTCCTGTGTGTACTGTATTTGTTTGTGGTCGAGGATATTTTCTCAGAAATTTTCTAAGTTTAATAATGTAATCAGTTAAAATATCTGCACTCTTCTGCATGAATTCATCAGGTTCTGTCAAGAGCATCCAAGGTATCAGTTAAACACAAATTAACAATGCAGCACTTTTACTGCTCAGCAGTGTTGAATGCACTCCCCTGACGAATAAACAGAACACATCTCAGAGGAAAGGGCACATCAGCTCTGTACTGCAACTGCACCTGTACGGGTACTGGTACCTCCACCACCAGCAGCCAACTGTCAGGATACAGGCACAATCCTACCAGGGCTCCACAGAGGTCCCCCATCCCCACTGATGTCTTCTCCCCTTCAGGGACAAGTAAACGAGAACTGAATTTTTTTATTAATCCCACCAATAATTAGTCAAATAAGTCCCATTTAAAATGCAGGGACTTTTAACCATAACGTTCATGTAGGAAGAAACAAAGACTACTAAAAATCATGTAGGAAAAAAGATTAATAATAACACTTAATGGTCTGCACCTTTTACTATCAGAAGAAATCAGTTCTGCTTTAATATGTATAGCCTATTGGTCCAAAGACTAAAAAGCATCACTGAGACAGCAATTCAGACCCATGCAACAGCACAGCACACTGTACGTTAGGACGTATCATTTTAATATGGAATTCTGTCATTTTAATACTCCGCTAGTATACCAGTTCTTATTCTATTCTTGTACCTTCTAGGCTGTAGATCAAAGAGCAGCATTTCAGGAACTGTGCCAGCAGAAGCAGGCATGCACTCCCACATCCAGTCTGCAACCCCCATCAGACACTACTTCTGGCTGCTGTGCCAGCCCTTGGGTTATACTGGGACGTGTGACTGTGTTGCCATACAGTAAATTGGACTGGGAAGTGCTCCAAATAAAAAAATAACCTGGTAGGCTATTTTTTTCAGCCGTATCAGTTTCTTAAACTAGTCTATTCCATTCCACAGCCACACAAATATTTGTGCCAGAATATTTCAAGTGGTGGCACTGAGAAAAGAGCAAGCAGCTGAGGGCTCAGCTCAAGCCATTTAACAGCATTACCATCCAAGTCTCCAGCAACAGCCTGAAAGTCTCATTCTGCCGCTCCTCTGCATCCCCAGCTGATCCTGCTGACAGGATCCTGTCCGATCTGGCAGCCTGACCACAGTTGTTTGTGCTAACACAGATACTATAGTCAGATTAATTTCTCGTGTTTCCCTTTAAATGACATTTTTCATTCACTTAACTCTAGCATATTTTTTTTTGTTACTTCTATGCAAATTGAGGTTTTTAATTAAAAAAAATTAGTTGTTCTTACTTACATAAACAATGACACATTACATTACTACCTATGATTCAAAATGAGTAATCTTACCCTCTGTGTGCACGAAAATTTCTTCGAGTTGCTTGCTAAGGAAAGTCAACGTGAGGTTTAGCAGCTGCTCAGAAAAGTGTTTACTGTGAGGCTCCATATCACTTTCTTTGATCGCTGAGCAAAGCAAGTTTAAAGCTGGCCTCAGCTCTTCCAAATCTGCAATATTTACATAAAAAGTTAAAATATCTGCATTCTACCATATGACTGATCATGTAAATTTAAAATTTAAGTTAAAAATCATAAAGGTATGCTACAAAAATCTTCCAAAATGTGTCAAACAATATATGTAACATTCTTTGCCTTCATATCAAAATGCTTATAATGTCAATATCAGAATACAACAAACCCTCCCCAGTATGCACCATTTCTCTCTTATTTTCCAAAAGTTGAGAAGTTACAATATAGTATCATCCAAACATACAAGAGCACAGGCAAATCAGTCTGTTTTTACAAACACATAGCCATAAATAGAAGGGAAATTAAATGCAAACCTCTGCATAGCTGAAAGTATTTACTTACTTTTCAGATAAGACTGGGATGTACTATCAGTAGACTGTTGAGGCCCAGAGCTGGGTGCAGACAGATTGAAAAGACTTTCTTTGCTTTTTAAAAATAAGTCTACCGTGTCTAGCTGACGATTTTCCAAGCCTGCCTAGACAAACATGCAGTAGAACAATTACTCATATATTCTAAAAATATATATTGTATGCTTACTGATAATATTTTTACCTCATACTCAGTGACAAAGCATACATGCAGAAAAAAAGAAGAAATGTAAACAATATATGCAACACCTGTAGCCTGAAATAACAAGGTGACCAGTACCTGCCATGATCCTTTACCAGGCTTCACAGAATCTTCAGAGACAAAATGCCAATTCAGCAATTAATTATATAGTTTGATTTGGGATATAACGTAAGTACGGTGAGAATTAGGACTTTGAATAAGCTTACAGCAACTGAATATTGCTGTGATCCTCCCAACAATTCACTTTCCATCACACTCTTCAAATAAAACCAAAAGAACCCTACCAAATGTCTTCATCTAAGCTCCCTCCTTCCAAACACAGCCACATTGTTCAGCACAAACTGAGAACGTACTGAATGATCATGTGGACAGACTGTTACAGAGTTCCAGACTCCTGAAACAATATTTTTTTCTAAACAAGGATCTCTGTCATCTAAAATTAGAACTAGAGCACTGGAAAACCACAGAGACACAGGGAAATGTGTTTTGTGGTCTGGTACATTTAGAACATTTTGTCACCTATTGTTAAGGGATACCAAGCTTTGGTGGCTTTAAGTTATCCTCTTGCCTTTACAAGAGTGGTATGATAAAAATAAAAATCTAGTTCCAAGGATTTATTTTAATATTTGACATTTTGCAAGAGGGCAAAACCAGCTGCTGAAATCAGCAAAAATGCTTTTGGATCCAATTAAGAGGGAGTTTTGAGCATTGCTTAGTTTAAAAAAATTATTATTTTTTTAATGTGAGTTAACTTTGTTGTTGTATTTCATCTTTTGGGTTACTCATCTGGGTTATTAATTTTTTTTAATTGTTTATTTAATAGCTCAACCACTACTTTTTGCTGCTAGGTTACCGAGGCATACTCTTAATTGTGTCTAAGAACATCATTAACATGATAAACTGCATTCATTGCTTTAAATAAGTATTTTTGTTATCTGTAAGACATGAAATAAATTTCTTTACCTCTAGCGCATGTATTGGAATCGAACATCGTTCCCATCCATTGAGATGACAAACAGAATCTACAACTCCAGCGCTGCCATATATCATCAATCTATTCAAAAACTCTTCTTGAGTTAAACCAAACAGAACTAAGGAGAGACCATGCTCTAAACAAAAGAATCAAACCACAATTAAAAATATATAAGCAAGTTGCAACAAAACAACATTTCTACCCACTGCCCCTTACCCAAATTAATGACTCAAAGCTGCCGTGGCTCTGGATTTCACCTCAGCAAGAACGCTTTGGAAACTACCCAACAGCAGCCAGGCAGACAGGAAAGAAAAGCACTAGAAAAACAAAGTTTTTCTCTGAAGGCTATATCAGAACAATTATATGAAAAATCCCCTCACCTGTCAGAAGCAGACATAACGGCACCTCTTCACTGCAATCCACGTAAACACTGTTTTTGCCAAAGTAGTAATACGTCACATCTTGCGACTCAAAATCCCAGAGAGCAAGGGTCACTCCTTTGTCATTTGTTAATACAACAAACAGGGCTTTAACTCCAGTTACCAATTTACACTCCAGTTTCACCACTTCTTGTGGTGCTTCTATGGGGATCTGTTTCCATCGCTGTCTTGCATTGCTGAGGTTTGTACCAGCACTTTGTACTGGTTTGGAAGGGGCCCACTTAACAGCTCGTGGAACAAAAGCCACCATCTTCTCAGAATTTTCATAGATCTCAGGATCATGATCTTCAAGATGGGTAAAAAACTGATACCAAGGTAAATTCAAGTCATTCACCAAATCTGGAGAACCTGGTCGTCTTCTCCTTACTCTATCACATAGTGAGGATAAATGTGCCCTCCAGGACCTGGGATGAAGAAAGAAGTTACCTGTAATACCAGGCATCACTCCAAGAACAATGCAGATAAATAAATTTTTAAAGTTTCTTCAGTTAAATAATATGCATTTTAAGCTTACAGATTCCATACAGCATCTTGCATTTCAACCTTAACATGTCCTGTTCATTCCTGTTTAAACACTGTAGCCGAATGATCACAGCTGCACTAGCTGACATCCATGAAGCTGAGCATTCTTAGTAGAAAATTTTCCTTTCCTTACTTAAAATTCCATCAATTAAAAAAAAAAAAAATTCCAGAATTGAGTATTTATTGCACTTACATCAAGTTATAACTAGCCTATTTTATTCATATTAATACCTCTAACACTACGGGTCACACCACAGTTAAAATGTCTTACCTGAACACAAAATATTTTCAAGTCCACATGTACTCATGTGTGCTAAACACACAAGAAACTGTAAAATACTTGGAATACAAAAATCTGTCAGTACTGGTTCAAACCAAAGGCAGCACCCTAAACAGCAATTACTATTTGGAAGCTGTTCAATAACATGTAAAGTTGTCTCGGCCCACTTCCTAACATCATCCTAACATTCAAAAGATTTAAAGCAGAATGAGCTGATTTTACCTGCCACAACTACAATTGAAAAAAAAAAAAAAAAGAAATCAGCAGTTTATTAATCAATGATCTAGAGGCAAAACTCAGCCTGTTTTAAAAAGTATTTTCATTATGTACCTGTCTGTGCGGAAAGGCAATGACAAAAGCTCCATGCTATAGTCAGAACTGGCGAGGTCATCCTCATCGAGTCCTTCAGGAGGCTTCACTGGAAGATTTTCAGAATCTCTCTTGCAGAGCAAATGCTCAGGGAACTGCCTGTGAAGAAATAATTAAATTTCACCTCTCTCAGATTATTTAAGATTTTTTTTTTTTTCCCTTCATGGTTAACTTGTCCAGGAGCTATCAGCAAAGCAGTTGTCTATTAGATTAAGAGCACTGACAAAAATGTATCCAGATAAGCCATCAAAACCCAATGCTTCTTCCTTTGAGGTGGACACCACCTCTAAATTACAACCTAGTCCCAATTTATCAAGCAAAATCAATAAATCTGTATCACAATAGTTTAACAATCCTACACCCTCCAGTATTTCTAAAAGGTGCTACCAGCCACCACTGGCACTAATTGACAACACGCATCCTAATCTTCCTAGAAAAAAAAGTATAAAGTCCAATACAAAGGTTTTGTATTTGTTAAAACAACAGAGCATATAGTGGAGCAAATAATAATGGGCAATTGTTAAAGAAATATGAAATTTCTGCTCTACCACAGAGCCAGAACTCAAAATAAAAAGCTGATGGCATCTCAACTATTATAGGACCGAGATTAGGCACCTTTTAATGTTAGTGGTACTCCAAACTTTCACTGAGGAATTCTGCTGCAAACATACCTGAAGTACCTGTTTAGATCCACAGAGGTGGCACAGTTGGAAGAACTGGTGATCACAGCGAGACTGAGGTCGTGCGACACTTTGACCGCCGTGAGTGGCGAAGCGATGGCTGGGCTCCTGCCCTCGTCCTGCGCGCCTCCCTGGCAGAGCGCTACGTTGACGTTTGCTAGGTTTGCACCATCAAAAGAGTCAAATACGTCTTTAAACAGCGTCAAAGAAAACACCAAGCCTCAGATTATCCAACAAACAAGAAGGGAAATACGGTAAATTTCTGTTAATTTTGTGGTCCAAGTCAATCTCTGCACAACAAAACATTTAGAATTGTTTGTTCTACAAGCGCATTCGAAGCTCGGTGAGGATCAGAGGCAAATTGTGCCAGGTGCTGCACAAAAACACAACTTGTGCCATCTCAAAAGAGTTAATTTATACCTAGAAGCAAACTGGGACAAGTATATATCAGCAGTTATAAACTAGGAGTAAAAAGCAGCCTGAATTTATTGCATTCTTTTACATACATGTCAGGAAAAAACTGACAAAGAATAGGTTAAAGTTGAGCACCTTATGGAACAGTCTGCCGGGTCTGAGCTCCTGATCAATCACAACAGAGGAGACAGCTATCTGGCTTCCAGGCTGTGATTCCCTGCGTATCTGTACATAATTTCTAGAGGATCTAATTAAGAAAAGAAAGACTAATGACAGTAGACTTAAGCCTGTTATACACAGATCCACATATCAAAACCGCTGAAAGCCATTACTTCCGTGTGAAACAGATTTCCAGTGGCATGCTGAGAACCTACACTTGATGCAAGACTATGGCATTTTTCACTACATTAATCAGCACTTTGCTACACAACCCCTTTATTGAAAACATCTTCAAAACAGACACGTGATGTCTGTCAAGAAATTTCTGGTTAACCCTGACAGAAAATGACTTTGTTCTTCCAGATCATTTACACTGAGAGCTTGTCTCTACTGCAAAGGATACAAATCCAGCCAGAACTATCTAACAGAAACAGGATCCCCCTGCAGAACTGAGTGTCTGTTATTCTTTCCAGAACTTGTGGAGGCAAATCAAGGGTAAAGCAGTCACACGTCTCTAACGATGAGTCTTTCCCAGGAAAGGTAAGATGCACAACAATAAACTTATTGAGCAGAAGTATGCATTTGTTGTTTTCGAAAGACAGTATTCTCAAAGAGAAAATTGAAGACAGACCTGTAAATTTAAAGATATTTTAGGATTATAACAATCTGGTACTTCTGATGTGTAAAGATATCTCAGGAAATCACAGCTCAAATTCATTGCCTCTGCTACCATCTTAATAGAAGATGGGATTGGCAAGGGGTGGGCTTGTTTTGTTTTAAATCTCACTTTTGGTGTCAGGAGCACTAATTTTGGAACAGTTTCCTAAAACAGTGCAGGCTTTTTATATTTAGACAATACTATGAAGAACGTGAAAAATCTTCACCAAATAGTATTTCAGCCAGCACTGAAGAGTTACAATCCTTGGAAATAAAAATACTTTAGCAAGGGATACTGCTTAAGAGCATGTAAAACATCAAAGGTGTAGGTCCTGCAAAGGCTGTGCATTCTAACTGTACCCGAAATTTGATAATCACAGAACATAAGACTAAATGCAAAGTTAGCCCTTGCAGGATTAGGGAGGATGTTTTCTTCCCATCAGTTCCAATATTAAAGGGAACGTCTGAGATTGCAGGGTTATATGTGTATGTTTTATTGAAGTTTATTTTTAATTTTGTATCATCCAAACACCTTACCCAACAACAGTTTAATGTTATCTTTGAATACAGAAATGTCACTATTATTTTTCAGGTTCATTAATACTGCTACTGATCACTTTAAATCAGTGCGAAAGTATTAGACACATCCCTAGTGTTCAATCCTACTGCCTTGATTTGTTTTGCCAGGTGAAGCAGAAATAGACCTATAATAATTTCACATATGGAATACACATTGAAATTTACTCACTAATGTTTTTAACTTCAACGAGCTTTTTAAATGTATCTTCCTTACAACTGTGCAGGGAAATCGGGTTGTATTTTCCATCTTCTATAGTGAATTCATAGACAAACAGTTCATGACTCTTAGTGAGAGCCAGTATTTTTGTCTTGTCTGCTTGCAGATCATCATCTTCTGTATTCTCCCACATGAAGCTGAAGATACAACATCCAGTATGTTTATTGACCTTATTCTCTTTCCACATTTCATACACTGAACAGTTCTGGAAGTGTACTAATGATGGTCAGTATAATTTAATCTTTTGCAGTAAAGATTCTGCTGCTGCCCCATCCCTCCCCAATACTAGAACACATTTCATCCCTAACAGAGACTGCAACGCAAGACAGCGCTGGAGGAATCCGCCACTTCTCTCAAGAATGACGGGATTTTCTACCCTTGTGTGTTTCTTGCCATTAGTCATCCCTGCCACGTGAGCGATGCTCTGCTTCAGGACTTCTTCTAGGAGGAGGAACATCAGCACAGCCAGCTAGGAAGAAGCAGAGCATATTGCCCATTTCCACACGTTTTGCCTTCCCGCTGCTTGGGCTGAGAAACTCTTCAGGTGTGTGACTCCACACACGCTCTCGTATGGAGAGGGGAGCGGGCAGAGAGGAAACAGCAAAAGGCCCCTTTGGATGGTGCAGTGAAACATGAGGCTAGAGCACCGTGCCAGCATTGCTTGACACTGCAGATGTTTAAAATTGCAATGAGATTGTGGTTTTGACTCAGCATTCAAAGCTACTAAAGCAGATTAAAAACACCTTGTGGTCGCTGACTGTCACGTACGAGAGCTTGCCCCTGACCAGGAGACAAGGTAGTCAAGCAGTCAGGGCGCTATGAAATTTTAAGCCAGAATTTTAAGCCAGGAACAAAACAAACCAGGTGATTTTGGGGTTTTTTTTGGCTTGTTTTTGATCTGCTATAATGAATACACCCACGACTACACAAATAAGTAGATACAAATCACCATCCCCTCCAGCAATGGGATTTTAAGTGGAGAGCCTCCAATCCCAAGGCAGGGTTTGGAAGTCCCCCCTCAGTCTCCTGCAGCTTTCGGGGCTCTGCGGGGCCGCTCCCTTTAGGGGAGGCCCCCCAGCCCCTGGGGCCCAGCCGGCGCCTCTCACCAAACCAGAGCGACGCCGGGGGGGTTCCTCCCAACCTCCCCTTCCCCCGCTCGCCCCCCGCCACTTACTCAGCCCAGGCTCCTGGGAGGACGGTGCCCCTGGCCCGGCCGCCTCCGCCCGGCACCAGGGACTCCAGGTAGATCCCACCAGGGACCAGGAGGCTGCCCAGAGCGTCCTGGCCCCTGCTTAGCCGGACACAGGCTGCGTCCCGCAGGGAATTCCGCGCCTCCCCCGAGAGGGACGCCAGCAATACGCGCAGCTCCCGCTTCGCCCCCTCCATCCTCCTCAGCGAGAGCCACCGCCCCCGGCCTAGCAGGTGCCCCAGCCCGCCGCCATCTTGGACGGGAAACCCTTCCTTCCGGTCAGCTGACAGCGCTGACCAGTGCCGTGGCGCGACTACAACTCCCAGCAGGCACCGCAGCCCAGAGCCGGCGGGCGGGAACGCAATGCCCGCTGGGAGCTGTAGTCTCCGCCAGCGGCGGCGGGTGGGGCGGGCCGAGTTGCCGCCACCTCCCTTCCCTGCGACCGGCTCCGGGGACACTTATCTTCACCGCGGCACCCGGGGACACTGTTTTGCTTACCAGCCGAGCTGTCTGAAGAAGGTCGAAGCCTACAGCAAACCAACCGCTGTAAAGGAACCGAAGGAATTAGTGCCTAAAACGCCCATCGACACAGAAAGTTTTGACAAGCCGTGGCCTCTGTAATCGGCCTAAGGAACGCGGCCCAAGGGAGCGGAGTGTATCGAAGGGCGCACGGCTTTACTCCCTCGCGGTTGTATCGGCAAACTCAGATAAGCCTCAAAGAAGGGAAACGCGGACTGAGTGAGACCGTAAAGGACCGATAAGAGATAAATAACCAGCATTCTGGACCTAAAAAGTAAGGGGGGGGGGGGGCGAACACGACCACCGAACTGACTGATAAGGGGGTTGGTGCACCCCGCTCCCCCTCAATGCATGTGTGGACCCCACGCTCTTCCCCTTCCTCGTCTCTCAGGAAAATGAGTTCGTCCGTGGCACGCCTGCCTCTCTTTGTCTGCTACGCTTATCAGCTGATAAGGATGAGCGTAAAAAGGCGACAGAAAAATTACTAGGTGTGCACCCCGCCCCCCAAGATTTCCGGAACCGAGACAACGCTGGAACGAGGGATGGTGACCGGACTTTTTTCTTTTCTTTCCTATACATTTATAAATAAGAGACCCCATTGCTTACTACCCTTTTCCAAGTTTAAGTTTTTTCTACCGCAAGTAAAACATTTTAACCGGTCGTTCAGCGTCGTTTCACCCGAGGGGATCACAGAACCTTTACGACTCCCTGGGCTCCCAGTCCGGGTCGTAACAACCCCTAATCCTCCTCATCCCGCCCGTGTCTTTTCCTGTTAAATCTTGCCGCTCTAGCTCGGGAGGTAAAGCATGTTACCGCAGGTAACAGGTAGCCCGGGGAGGGGCTCAGACCCCCGGGACAACAGCCACAAAATCCCGCCAACGCTGAGAGAACGGCTAACCACGCCCTCTCACCGCCCCCCTGGGCGGGGAATCCGCGGCACAGCTTCGCCCATAGGTTGCCAACAAGATATCCCCGCCCGTGGGCGGGGACTCGGCGTCCTCGGCTCCGCCCCCGCCCCGCCAGGAACTTCCCGCTGGCGGCGGCGGACGGTGGCCGCGAGGGTCCGGTCCGCGCTCTCCCATGGCGGAGCGGGAGGATGTCGTTGGTGTTGGGGCTGCTGTCGCACACGCTGAACAGGGTGCTGTGGTACTCCGGGCTGCGTAGGGGCTGCCATGCCCCCCGGAGCCAGGCCATGGAGCAGGACAAGGCGCTCGAGGTTTACGGTGACTGTCGGGGGGGGTTCAAGGGTCGCCCCTCGGGGAGGCCTGGGGCTGACGGGGCTGCGGGGCCGGGTTGTGAGGGAGCGGGGGGGGGGGGTCTGTGAGGGTCCCTGGGGGCCGTTGGTGCTGTGCCCTTCAGAGGGGTGAGGTGGAGGAAGCCGGGCCCTGCCCAGCGCTTGCGGGGGGGGCCGAGAGCCGTGTGTGGGGTTGAGAGAGTGGGGGCACCCCAGCGGGGTCCCCGGGGGGGCCGGGGTGAAGGTGGCTGCTCTTGGTGTGGGGCGGGAAGGAAATCTGTTTGATTTGCTTGAGGAGCGGAGTCGCTGGCGGGGACGTGAGGTGGGGAGGGTTTGCCCACGGGGTGCTGGAGAGTCCAGCGAGTGTGGAGGGAAGGGGGAGGGCCTGTCTTGGGGGCCTGCTGGCTTTCCCCAACCGCCCTGCCAGCCCCGGGCTGTGGCTGGAGATGGGGTGGGTGCTGTGACCTTGGGGTGCCGGGTGTGCCGTGGTCACTGTTAGTCGGGATCCTGAGCAAGTGCTGAGGGAGCTGTCTTAATGCACCGCTTGGCTGGTGGGTGATGCTGCTGCTTCCCAGCTCCAGTGTGGGAACGGGGCTGGAGTGCTGCTGGGCTTGCTCAGCCCCTGCCCTGGGGGGAGTTGCCTCGGTGTTTCATCACCTTAGACAGAAGAGGAGCTGGACACACCTGGAAAGGCAAGTAATTCCAGAAAGGTCAGCCAGTTACTCCAGAGAAATGGAGATTTCTGTTACTGAGTGACTGAGATTTTTGTAAAATAGGGAGAGATTTCACCTCTGCAAATGGTGCATGTAGGATCTTAGAGGATTCCAAAAACATTGTCAGGCTTCAAGGCATTGTTATTTTGTAGGCAGTGAGGAGTAGCGTGAGGATTTTATGCAGGACTGCACACAGTTTTAGCTAAAAAGAATAAAAGGAAACAATGTCAAACAAACTCAATTTTAAAACTTGAGTGATGTTTAAATATAGGTACTGTAAAACGTTGGTGGTTCCAAGTAATAACTTAGGTTATGAATCTTAAGTATGTAAGTAATCCTGCTGATTTCTGTTCATCCATAGAGTTATGCTTGTGCATGATCTTTGCAGAACTAAAGCATCTGTGTATGAAATTTAGATTTAAAAGACCAGAGGCATCCATGAAGTACTGCTGAACTAAATAAATTTCAGTGTTCGTCTTGCTGCTTGGTGAAGTAATTGATTTCCTCTTGGGCCTTTTCACATAGAAAGGGGATAAAATTTAAAAATAGATGAAGAAATGTATCAGAAACTACAAGGAAATGTGTATATGAAGATACTTATGTTGTATGTATATGTGAAGAAATTTCTTGTTTGGCTAGACTTCAGTAGTTGGCTAAGACCTTAGGCAGAAGGGATACCAGGGCCAGAAAAATGGAAAAAAGGTGAAAATACTTTCTACTGGTCTGACAAATGAGACAATCTGTTTGCTGGTGAACATTCCAGTAAAGCTAGACAGTTCGTTTGCTTGTTACCAATCATTATCCTTAATGTAATTGAGGAGACAGTTTTCAGTTCTTTGGGAAAGCAGAACAAATAGCCTTGTGACATCTACTGTGTCTTGTAGGTTTGTAATTCAGCAGCATCACATCCTTATGATGTAGACACAAAATCAGAGGCTGGGGGCTTCGGAATGATGCAAGCAATAGTCTGCTTCCCTGGATGCTGGGGAACGGGGCTCAGTTCTTTCATTCCTCCCAAGTTTTGTTTTATGGTATGAGTGATGACAACTGGCTTTGGAAAGCAAGTGCTTCCCAGCCCTGCTGAAAGGATTACTTGGGTCTAGAGAGCAATTTGAGTAGCCCATGCAGGAGGGTGAGAGGATCGAAGAAGGTGAGGTGAGTACCAGCTCATAAAACTGCACAAATATAAGTCTTTTCCTTGCTGACAGGTCAGTGACTTTAGGGTGTGTCTGTGATTTCAAGCATACCATTCTCAGACAGATGGAGTCCAGACAGACATGAACTGCTGTTCCTGCCCGCTGGCTTCCTGCTTCCTTCCCGCCTGGAAGTAATATGGCAATGTTAGTGCCATGTTGTACCGTGCCCGTGATCCCTGCCGGGAGGCCAGGCCCCTCAGCTTGGGAGCAGGAATGCACTGGAAGCAGCTCTGCAGCTCTCAAGAGCTGGGTGGGTCTGTCCATACCTGAGGATAGACTGAAGTAATTTGCCATGGTGAAGGCTGATGTCACATTTGCTTGAGCAATACAGTTAGCTATTGTAGTAGGGCTACGCTAAAAATAAAATTGCTATAGCTAGCTAAAAATAACCTATCCGTTCTTTTTTTTAACCTGCTTTTTGGTTTTTTTTTTAAAACCAATCTTAACCTGTATCCCATTAGTTACATAATTTATGCCAGAAATGCTTGTACTTGCATTTCTAGGGGGCAAACAACGGCATACAGTGCAGAAGTGAGTGTGCGGTGACAGCTGGGCACTTCCTAAGTTTGGCCTTCCCTGTCAAAATTAGCGTTTCTTCAAGTTATGCTGGCTGCATGGCACCGATGTGAACAGGCTAGAGATCTCATTGCAGAGAATCACAGACCAGTTTGGGGTGGGAGGGCCCTCAAAGCCCCCCCAGTGGCACCCCCTGCCCCGGGCAGGGCCCCCTTCCCCCAGCCCAGGGGGCTCCCAGCCCCGTCCAACCTGGCCTTGAACCCTTCCAGGGAGGGGGCAGCCACAGCTGCTCTGGGCACCCGGGGCCAGCGCCTCGCCCCCCTCATTTGCCTCATTGCCTTTCCATCTATGCTACATTACTCAGCAAACACGCTGAAATGCAGAGACTTACTTTGTTCAGGTTCTTAGGAAATTTACTGAATTCATATCTCTCTTGTGTATTATTTGTCAGTGTCCTATAATCAAATATTGTAGCTTTTGAATATTACTTTGAAACCTTTTGCTCTTTGGAAAAGCAACAAAAAATGTAATTCTGTTTCATTGTATGATGAAAGCTCCTTAAGCTAATCCAGAACACATTGCTTCTAGAAAAGGCAATGCTGCTTATCATTTTCTATACAGGTATATTAAACCTAGTTGATCCCCACATTTTACAAGATAAGGAGGTGACCATTGATACAGATAAATATGGATTAGTGCATTATTTTTATATTGGTTTTCCTTGAGATACCTTCAGAATCTTATCTGTGAGGCTCAGGCTGGGAAGTGGAGAGAATAAGATGAGAAGGAAATTTGGCTTCTCTTGCTAATAAATTAGATTTTGAAATACCTGAAGGGCAAGCAAACCTATCTGAAATACTACATCTATGTATAACTTTTGAACAGGCTAGTATTATGTGACCTGTAGTTCTGCAGGTAGTACATAGCCTTTCATAGGCATGTTTTGATTTATATTTATTATAATCGGATTGTAGAAATAATAGCAAGTTTAGAACCGGATTGTGAAAAATATGTGCAGAGTGAACAACAAATGCCTCGATTTGCTGGGTTCTGAAGCAACTTGTGAGATAATGTAT